GCAGCCACGACACCTGCAGCCTCCGCTGAAGACGAAAAGAAAAAGACGCTCGCAGGCTTCTTGAGTCGGATGACCGATAAGCCCAAACCAATGCCGCAAGGAAGTTCTTCAGTTGCTGGAGACCAAATTGCAGTTGACAAGAGCCAGTCTCTGACGGGAGAAGTGTACCTGCGTGCGGATGGAAAAAAGGTCCGACGTGTCCAGAAGGTATCTGCAGTACAACCGGGAGATCAGGTTGAAATTATCACCCGTCCTGACGGAACCAAGGTTCGTAGAATCAAACGAGTCAAGCGACCAGCAGGTCAGGCACCTGCAGCTGACAACAATGTTCGAGGAGTTACGAACGCCAGTCTCAATAAGGGTTTGGGCAAATTCTTGAACACAGCTCCTGGTGCCAATACCAGCACACTTGCTGGAAGTGCTAGTGTGTCGGGGGATATGCTGCACAGAAATCCAGCAGAGCAACAGGGAGAAATCTTCGTTCGACCCGATGGGACCAAGGTTCGAAGAATTAAGAAGTTCGTCTCAGCCGCCACCGGGGCCCCGGTTCAAAGAACGAAGGATGGCGAAGAATACGAAATATATACTAGGCCGGATGGAAAGAAAGTGCGTCGTATCAAACGCGTGGTTAAAAAAGGGCCTGATGGACAAATTCTACCAGCCGGTGCCAAGCCTGGTGGTGCGGCTACAGTTGCCGGAGGTGTTGCACCGAAACCTCTCGCCACCGGTGCTGCTACGGTGGCAGGAGGTGTCGTCAAAACCTCTGCCACTCCTGAAATCGCCCCTGTAAAACCTCCAGCTCCAGCGGGTCCTGCTGTATCCAAATTGAATGCAGCAGACGAAGAAACGGCCTCTCAATATCGAAAGATGCTCAAGATGGGAATGCCTGACGGTGCTGTACAACAAAAGATGCTTGTCGATGGAATTGCCCAACATATCATCAACTCTGTCATTGCAAGGGAACAACCTGGAGCAGGTGGAGCTCCAATACCGGCAGCTCCAGCACCGGCTCCAGAACCAGCTGTCAAGTATTCCAAGCTATCTGCTGCCGATGAAGAAATAGCAGGGCAATACCGCAAAATGCTCAAGATGGGTATGCCAATGGGAGCAGTCCAACAGAAAATGCTTGTGGATGGCGTAGCACAACACATTCAGGATTCAATTGCCAACGGAGAAGTCCCAGCCCCAGCAGGAAGCGCTCCTGCACCAGCTCCTGCACCAGCGCCAGCACCAGCACCAGCAGAGCCTGCTGTCAAGTACTCCTCATTGTCTCCTGCCGATGAAGAGATTGCAACCAGATTTAGGAAAATGCTCAAGATGGGCATGCCAATCGGAGCTGTTTCACAAAAGATGATTGGTGAAGGTGTTGCACAAAACATCCAGGACTCGGTTGCTAACGGAGAAGTTCCGAGACCAGCTGGAGCAGCTCCCGCTCCAGCACCAGCCGCAGCAGACCCAGGTGTGAAATATTCATCACTATCCCCTGCAGATGAAGAAATTGCAACAAGATTCCGAAAAATGCTGAAGATGGGAATGCCAATTGGAGCTGTTTCGCAGAAGATGATGACCGAAGGCGTTGGACAACACATTCAGGACTCTGTTGCTAATGGAGAGGTACCAAAACCAGCAGGAACTCCTGCACCAGCTGCGGCAACTGGAGGCCCAGGCAAGATGGGAATGATTCCAGATGGAATGGTCTTGGTTCCAAAGGATCAAGCTTCAGTGCCAGAAGACATGGTGATGGTACCGAAATCCCAAGCTGATAGAACGATTCCAGAGGGTATGGTGGCCACTGACAAGAACAATACTGTCCCAGATGGCTTCGTACTTGTCCCTAAGGACAAGGTTAGGGGTACAGGTGACGATCTTGTGTTGGTCAACAGGAGCCAAGTGAAGGACAGCGAACTGTACCTTGGAAATAAGGATGACAAAGATCTCAAGAGTGGAGTTGCAGAAGATGACCAGATCAAGGACGCAAGGGGTGCCAATGTCTTTTCCTTCGATGATCTACCAGATCGGGTGGAGCAGTTGAAGCGAGAAGGAAAGACCTTTCTTCTTCAAGCTCTGCCGGACGATGCAGACTTGCAAAATGACTTTATCAAGAAGAATCTGCTGCCGAAAGATATCAGGGCCGCACCAGCACCAGCGCCAGCACCACCACCGGCTGCAGCCAAAAAGAAGGAGGAGAGCAAATCAAGTATTGCGGAAATCCTTGCTCAAATGTCCACCATGGGTGGTGACTTTGACGCTGAGAAGATGGGAGAATTGCTTGAAAAGCTTGAGGAGTCAGAAAAGAGACAAAAGAAACTTGAAAAGCAGCTCGCAGCAGCTGGTGTCAAAATTGCTGAAGATATTGACTACGATGTCTGTCTCAAGAAGATTGGCGAGATCGGAAGGAGAATGGGAGAGATCGGAAGTTCCGATGTTGTGCATCCTGATAAGGACGAACAAAATAGGTTGCGTGAGGAATATTTCAAACTCGAACAAGATATGGAAAAATACAGTAACGCTTTGGTCTTGACTGATGAATACATTGCCGAACAAAAGCGAAAAGAGATAGAATGGGACGAATCGAATTTACAAGATAACATCGACGCATTGAAGAAGCTTCGCCGTCACATGCCCGTTGAAGTCAGAAACATGAGTGAAGCCCAGCTCACCAACGAACCGTCGCCGAATGGAAAATATCTTCCTGCAGGCACTGCCAAGAAGTTTAAGCGTACAAATGTGCTTCAAGTCATTCGACGTGATCCCGATGATGTTGTGAGAATGCACCCTTCCACACTGGAAAACATGCGTGTGACTGGTCTAACATTGACAGAGCGTCGTGCCGTTTACGAGCACGTTAGAGGTATTGCACCTGTTTGGGAAGCTGGTAAAGCTGAGAAGATGACAGAGCGAAAATGGACATGGTTCAACATGATGAAAAATAATTTCAAGGAGAATTTGGCGTCATACAAGCGCCATGTTGCTCAGTATGGTCCCCCAGGAGCCCACCCTTACGCAACCAGAGCCAACCCCAATGAAGGTTGTCCTTTGCTAGGAAAGCAATGTCCTTTGAAGGCCGATAAACTCATTGATTACGATGGCGACTATGGGTGGACTGATGAAGCGGTCTACGAAGTTTCTGATGTCAAGAAGGCTGACGTTGAAGATTCCGGTGCAAGAGCCAAGGCCGAGGCACTTGAACTAATGAAGGAGAAGAAGGCCAATGAACGCGCCGACGCACTCAAAAAGCACTACAAAGGAAAATTATTGCAAGTTTCGAAGGCCAATGGAAGTTGTGAAAGTATGGATGAAATTATGGATAAGTGTGAATACGGCATGGAGAAATGGATTGAAGATATTCTTGATTTAGGTGATGACAAGTCAAAAATAACAGACGATGTGAAGAAGAAGGAACTCGCTAAATTTACCGATGTCATGAATGACTGTAAGCTGGGTATATACGATATCTGTGGAAGATCAGGTATGCAATTGTCTGGTAAGAAGACAAAGGACCAAAAGCCAGATCCTCGCAGTTCCCTGGAGTGCTTGTTGGCCGAAGAGGTTCAAGAAACATTTGAGATCTTTGCAACCTTTGTCGAAAATCGTATGAAGAAGACCGAGATCATGGACACGAGGATCAAGAACACAACCAACGACTTGAGAGGCCTGCTGGCAGAGTTGCATGAAAGAAATGTCAAGACTCTTGCTGCCCTTGGTGTCGAAAAGGGAGACCGTTCGAGAGCGCTCAAGACTGAAGCTACCATTACAAAGGAAGCAAAGGAGAAGATCGCTGCAAGAGCCCCACCACCAGAGCCCGAAGGCGGCGGCGGCGGTGGACCACCAGGAGGTATGCCAGGCCGTGGAGGCGGCGGCGGTCGTGGTGGGTTGCTGGATGCAATTGGAAGAGGCCGTGGCCGTGGTGGAGGCGGCGGTCGTGGCGGATTGCTGGATGCAATTGGACGAGGTCGTGGCCGTGGTGGAGGCGGTGGCCGTGGCGGATTGTTGGATGCAATTGCTGGAGGAAGAGGAAAAGGCCGTGGAGGCGGTGGTGGCCGTGGTGGCTTGCTTGACGCCATTGGAGCAAGAGGACGAGGTGGAGGCCGAGGAGGTGGCGGCGGTGGCCGTGGAGGCTTGCTGGTAAGTTCCTTTGCGTTACAGATTTATCGATTTTGTCCACCCACGAGAACAAAAACTAACCATTTTCTCACCCTTACTGTACTCTGATGCGCAGGATGCCATCTCTGCAAGAGGAGCAGGAGGCCCCAAACCTGGTGGTGGTGGAGGCCGCGGGGGTCTATTGGACGCTATCTCGGCACGAGGAAAAGGTGGAGGCCGAGGAGATGGCGGTGGAGGGGGCCGAGGAGGTCTCATGGTAAGTTTCCATTGCATTTTTGGAGAAACTGTGTCGACTGGAAACACAATTCCCTACTTTACGGTTCCTTTGTCAATAGACACTAACGCACCTTTTCTTTCATCGCATCATAGGCCGCTATTGCTGCAAGAGGAGGCGGTGGATAGACTCAAATGTCCACCAAGTTCCCTTTTTGAAACCATACGAGAATACTACTCGAAAACTGCCTATCATCAATCATTACGTTTTGTCTCTTTCTTAAAAGTACTACCACACTATTAGTGTTACAAATGTTTATTATTCTATCATATCATCTTTCTTTTTTATCATTGCTCTTGCAGACTACTCGCAGTAGGTGGAGTTCCCTATGGTAGTACCGCAAATAACGACGAGGAGGGTTGGAGACGGCGATGAGGTTTTTTTCTGAGACTTGAAAGTGCTCGCTCACGCACTCCAACGGTTCAAAATTGCAGTACGAGCAAGTCGGGCATAAGCGTTTACTTTCAACGTACCGCTGTGTACCCAAAGGTACGGTTTGGCAGCACGTGTCGACCAAGGAAGTCCAACGAGCCACACACACAACTTCCACGCGTACAGACGAAGGCACGTCAAATTTGAATAATTGCTGCATTGCTATTTCTATGCATTTCTTGGAACTACCACCACCACCATGACTAGCCAAGAAAAACAGTCCTTGGATGAGAAGGCCACTTCCATCAAGGATCTTGCCAAGCTCATCAATGAACCTCAATCACTGCCCTTGAATCTTGAGCACTTGAAGGCTGCTGGAGGTGTCACTGGTCTTTTGAAGCTCTTGGGCACTAACGCGGATTCCGGTGTGGAGGAAGAGACTGTGGAAGAACGCCGTGCTCTATTTGGCTGCAACACACTGCCATCAACTCCTAGAAAGTCGTTCTGGCAACTGTTTGTAGATACTTTTGATGATGCAACTCTGCAAATTCTGATTGTGGCCGCCATTGTTTCCTTAATTATTGGAATTTACGACAACCCATCAACGGGTTATGTTGAGGGTTGCGCCATTTTGGCGGCCTGTCTCATTGTTTCAGTCGTTACCGCGTTGAACGACTATCAAAAGGAGACACAATTTAGAGAGCTTAGTGCTGTGAATGACGAAGTGGATGTTAAGGTGTTTCGTGCAGGAAAATTCACAACTATTCCTGTGGGGGACATTGTTGTTGGGGACATTGTTTCTCTTGACGCTGGAGATGACATTCCTTGTGACGGTGTCGTTGTTGCGTACGATGGCTTTGAAGTTGATGAATCTGCACTTACTGGCGAACCAGAAGAAATTAGCAAAGATGCAGAGAATGATCCATTTGTTCTTTCAGGATGCACGACAGTCGCTGGAACTGCTCGGTTTGTTGCCATTGCGGTTGGAAAGAATTCACAGTGGGGTATTATTAAGAGCCATCTTGAAAAGGAACAAGATGAGACCCCTTTGCAAGAAAAGCTCGATGATATGGCGGCCATGATTGGAAATGTCGGTATTGGTGCGGCAGCTGCAACCTTTGTCGCCATGATGTGCATCAAGATTTTCATCAACCCTGAATACCTTCATGATGTTACTGTTTTTCACCATGCATTGGAGGCATTCATCATTGGAGTTACGATTGTTGTCGTGGCTGTTCCTGAAGGTCTTCCACTTGCCGTCACCATTTCCTTGGCCTTTTCCACCAAGAAAATGCTTGCTGATCAGAATCTTATCCGTGTCTTGGCAGCTTGCGAGACCATGGGAAATGCTACTAATATTTGCTCCGACAAGACTGGAACTTTGACAGAGAACAGAATGACTGTTGTTGAAGGTATCTTTGCCAACACAAAGGATATCAATTGTGTCAACCCACTTGCCATTTCCGTCAATGCCATTGAGATTATCCTTGAGTGCATTGCCTGTTGTTCCACTGCGCGTGTTTTGCCTCCTGCACCTGCCCATTCCATCAACTCTGATGAAGTCGTTGACAGTCGTCCAAAATTGATTGGAAACAAGACCGAGGCTGCTATGCTGCTTCTTGCCAAATCCTCTTGGGGAAACAATGATGATGTTGACCAACGCCGTGAAAGCGCCAACTTTGGAAAGGATGGTGGATCTAGATTGTTCCCATTCTCTAGTAAGCGCAAGAGAATGACAGTCTTGGTGAACAAGAACAACAGCTGGACATTGTATCACAAGGGTGCTGCTGAAATCGTCATGGAAAACTGTACTACATACATGGATGTTGATGGCTCTGAAAAGCAAATGACTGAAGAAAAAAGAGAATTTTTCAAGAGAGTTATTGCCGAGTATGCCAGCAAAGCATTGCGTTGCGTTGCTCTCTGTCACCGCAAAAAGATTGAGACCGTAGTCAAGACTGACTTTTCCAAAATTAGCTTGGCCGAAACCGAAGAGAAGCTCGAGAAGAAGATGTGTCTCAACTCTCTTGTCGGTATTGCAGATCCTCTACGAGAAGATGTTATTGGTGCTGTTGCAACCTGTCAAAGAGCTGGTATTTTCGTTCGTATGGTCACTGGTGATAATATTGAAACTGCTCGTGCCATTGCCAAGCAGGCTGGTATCTTGACTGAAGGTATGTCTTTCTGTTGCACCATGAAGAAAGAACAACTAAGAAATTGGTGCTGTCTAACCGTTGCCTTTTCTGTCTCGAAATAGATGGTTTGTCAATGACTGGAGATGAATTCAGAAAGCTCACTCCTGCTCAATTGGACGAGATTCTTCCAAGACTACAAGTTCTTGCCAGATCAAGTCCCGAGGACAAACACATCCTAGTGCAACGTCTCAATGGAGGGCTCATGCCCGCAACCAAAGAAGAATGGGACGAAGTCCATCCTGGAAGAGACTACGAAACAGAGAGAGACCTTCTTTTGCCGGGATACAAGCAGGAGTGGGATGAAAGCCGTGATGGTGTTGGAGAAGTTGTTGGCGTCACTGGAGATGGTACAAATGATGGTCCAGCTCTAAAGGCTGCCGATGTTGGTCTTTCCATGGGTCTATCTGGGACTGATGTCGCGAAGAAGGCTTCTGATATCATTATCATGGATGATCGTTTCTCGTCAATTGTCAAGGCAGTGCTTTGGGGTCGCTCTGTCTTTGACAATATTCGCAAATTCCTTCAATTTCAACTTACTGTCAATGTCGTTGCTTTGACAATCACATTTCTTTCTGCCCTCATCGGCTACAACCCCCCTTTGAATGCTGTTATGATGCTTTGGGTGAACCTCATCATGGACACGATGGGAGCACTAGCCCTTGGTACCGAGCCACCTCAATTGGAGCTTCTTGAAAGACATCCATACCGAAGAAATGCAAGTTTGATCAGTCGCCCAATGTGGAGAAACATTTTGGTCCAAGCCACGTACCAGCTGTCGCTCCTTGTTTATTTGCTGAACAAGGGTCCTGAACTTTATGATTGTGAAGATGGTTCAACGCGACACTTCACCATTCTTTTCAATGCATTTGTCTTCTGCCAAGTTTTCAACGAATTCAATGCCAGAGAGATTGGAGATATATTTGATCCCTTCCATGCTCTTGACAAATCGCCAATGTTCTTGTTCGTGATTGGATTCACTTGTTATGCTCAATGGCTCATTGTCGAATATGGCGGAGACTTTACACAAACAGCTCCTTTGTCCATGTCTGAATGGCAATGGACTGTGGGATATGGAGCCTTGTCTATCCCAATGGGTTACTTCATGCGTTTAATACCCGTCAGCGAAGATCCTGATTCGTTTGCAGGATTGCCGGAAAAGGGTGAAGTGAAGAAGGACAATTCTCATTTGAGGGCAACCTTCTTTGCATTTTTGCCCATTATTGCTGCACTTGTGTATCAGCTTTCCTACGAAGTCGAGGAACTAAGAGAGCATTAAAAATATAGAAAGCGACTTCAAATACATGGGTAGTTCTGAAGTGTCATAGCTTTCGATTGATTGATTCGCACGATTCATCAAGATTCAACAAAACATGTGGAGATTCGAAGGACAATAACCACCAGAATTTGACCGACTTTTTGCAACCACAACGAAATCGAAAGTTGTGTAAAGACAAGAGATTACCTGAATCTACTACACGTACCTAAGCAATCAACCACAATGACAGGCGAAGGGAAACAAGCGGAATCAAAATTTGCAAAACATGCAGAATCAGACTCTGCATTGGCACCAGAAAAACAATCGGAGGAAGTGCCGAAAAGGAAGAAGGGTATGGCGATAGCTGGTAAGTTACTGTCGGATCGTAACGAAGTACAAGAATGATCCCACTAAACGTTTAACTCTTGTTTTCAGGACGATTTGCTGTGTTTATAGTTTTTCCTTGTATTGTCGGGGGTATTAGTTTGACTATTGCCATTATCGAGCAACGGAGAAATTCAGATTATGAACTCAATATCGACAGGGATTTCATGTATCCGTTCGTGCTGGCGTTGTGCCTCACAATGGTCGTAGGCTTCCAAACCAAGGGATTCACAAAGGATAAACCTGAACCACTTGTCTCATGGCCAAAAGTAAAGAAGCAACGGAAGGTCGTTCACAAGTACGTGGTCAAGGGGAAGGAAGAGGAAGAAGAACAAAGCGACAAAAAGAATGACTAGAAATATTGTAGGGAATGCTGTACATACCGAATGCAAAGTGTAAAATATAAAATAATCGAGATGCAAAGCGGTTGGGATCGCTAACTGCTCCACTATTTGAACCATTGCAAAATGAAATTGATAATAATGACAGAATAGAGAGGATGGAAGAAAGATGGATATGGTGAAAGTGCCAAATGAGTTGCGAAATCTGTTAAAACACAATTATTCGTTTATTCGAGGATCAACGCAGACCCTGCCTTCTCATGCTTATGCATGAACTCTGTCACACCACCACATGACTCGACTTCTCTTTGATCCCACCCCAATTCTTCACAAACTACTGCAAGACTGTTTGTAATGACAAACTTCCGTTGCGTCTTTTCATTGACAAAGTTCAACAGCGTACGAGCTGTTTTTGCAAGCATGTTGGAAACTGGGTACATGACCATCTTCTGTAGAGTTTCTGGATAGTTTGGTTCGAAAAGATTGTAGATCTTCTTCAGCATATCAACGCGGAAGCCACTGGAGATTGTGACTCCAGACAAATCAATGAACTGGTTTGCTTTAGGGTTTCGGGGATCCTTGCCTCGAGCCAACATCATCTCTGTGAAAACAATGAATGCTTTGCAGACATCGTCCGGTGAAATGGAGTCAACACTTTGAAGCTTGGAAAAGTTAACATAGACTGTTGGAACCTGGGTTTCCATAACGTCCAGGTCGATTTCAGCCACTGCTTTGAGTCGCAACACCTCTTGCACACCATCTCTTGTAAGATCAATAGGGAAAATACCAGTTTTCCATTGTTCGTGTTCTTGCATCATTTTCATCGCATTGGGAACGTCTCCATCACGTGCCTCCAAAAATCGAGGCCAGGAGTTGATTTTGGCATCCCAACCATACCGTTCTAAACTCAATGCTAGTGGTGGATCACCCATAGACTTGATAAATTTAATTTTGGCCAACAATGCAAGATAAGCTGAAGAAAAGCCAAACTATTAGAGAGCTGTGTGGAACTGATTGATTGGTTGGTTGATTCAGGCAACAGCACCAACACATACCTTCTCCTGTACCAGCAGTGAACACATTGTTATCATTCGACATATGAGAATCTCCTGAAAGATTCTCAAGCTCCTCTTCCTTGAAGTCTGCAGCAAATCGGCGGTAGCCTGAACCGTTGACAGCCACAATGCAATCACCAACATTAACGCCACACTTTCTGGCCACCGTAGCACCTTCCAACAAGCGTCCAATTTGGGCAAAACCAGGAGAAAACATCTCAAAGGCTTCTCCCTGTGATGTGAATACGAACGAGACCACAATGTTGAGATCTTTTTCATAATTGCAAATACTACGACTTACATAGATTTGAATCAATCCGATAGCTTACCTTGTCGCAGTTGATTAGCTGTGCCCCCAAAGATCCTTGTGGATCATCCTTGAAGGAGATTGTCAGCAGCTTGGGCTTTTCGCTCGACGTTGAATGAAACACAGGATTCATTGCCATCTTGTTTATGATGTTGTCAAGTATGTTATTGTCAACGTCGTTGTCTGTTTGTTTTGTTTTCTCATTGGCAGTTGACCTGCAATGACCGTTTGAAGATGGACGATATTCGACTCGCTGGACCGTTAATTTGACTCATTGGACTAATGTTGAGAAACCTGGAATATTTGAGTTGTCATTGCCATTCCTATTGTATCAAAAGCCAGGATGGGGAAGATAGGAAGGATAAGAAAATGCAGCAAGAAAGGAGGAAAAGGGCATCCTTCAAAGAAAAGCAGTGAAGCGACAAACGTTGCAGCCGAGTCTAAAGCCGTGAGACCAAGACGAAATATCGTCCAAGTATCATATCCATGCGAATCACCAATAAAGGACCAATAAGCAACACCTGTGCAAGATGAACCTAATACAACATCACCTGATCCTAACATAGCTTTCATGGGAGACGATCGTCCAGGAGGCCTACTTGATAAAGCAAACATTACAGTGAACAAGTTGGAATCCAAGAGGTTGGCGATTGCCTACCTTTTTGTGCATTTCCACGGAGCCCCTCCAAGAGATACATGGAAGGGCAAAACTGGAATCCAGACCAAAATCAGGTCAGCTCTAAGTCTTTCTCAAAGCACTTGTATCATGAAGGATCTAGAAGATATTATGAGGTGCTATGAACAAGGTATTGAGTATAACCCATCACTGAGATCTGGCCGTGGTCGTAAACGTGAAGCAGCAGTGACCCCAGATGGACCTGAGGCATAGGCAGATAATGATAGCATTCCCGGCAGAGACTGGCTGCTCAGCTATGCTTACGGCACGTCTATCGAATATAGAAGGCCTGAAGTATAACTCATCAAGAAATATGAGACGAAGAATACCTTCGTACTCTATGCATTTGCAATAAGCGTGTAATGAAAATGCTCCATAAACAATTCCTAGTTCTTGCTATGAATAATTTGTGTATCTACAATGAAAATTTATTTTTGACTCTGGTATCATAAGGTAATCCATCAGCGAGATTCGCAATCAAAACCGTAAGCGAAACGGTTCCACCTTCAATCCTCACACTACATGGTAGCGCACTGAAGGAGATCTGCTACCTCCTGCACCATCTGCTTTTCTCCTTTCTCGTCGTGATAGGTGACTTCGATCGCTACTGTCTGATATCCCTGGAGTAACACGAGATGGAACCGGGAGTTTGTCCCCTGAACCTAGTTCCACCGACATCTTGTCACCAGCAGGCTCATCCTTATCCTTCTTTCCTTTTCTTCTCATTGATTTTGCTGCCAATGCAGATATGAAGATGAAGATCCCAATAATGTGTTCAAACGTGCATGTGTTATTGAAAAGAACAAAGGAGAGAAATAGCGTCGTAGCTTTGCGAGCCGTTGACGTTATTGACATTGCCAGAGCCCCAAAGTTCTTTGTGATTGCTGCTGAACAAGAGCTTCCGAAGAAGCCCATGCTTGAGAAAACAATCATGATCACCCACTTCGAGATAACTGAGTATGAAGTCTCGCCGAGGGGCGCGTTGGATTGCTGTTCAGCATACGTCCCTGGTTTCATCATAAAAATGATTCCTTCTCTCATATCCCCGTTCATTATTGCAGCTGATGTAATGGCAACCAAGGCGATCGAGTACATCCGAAAAATAAACTCGTCCTGACCTACACCATATTGACTCATAATTTTCTCACTCATATTCGTAATCGCTCCATCGCAGAGCAAAGAGACCGTCTGAAAACAACAGATCCATACAAGTGAGAATTGAGCTATTGTTGATGATTGCAATGCTAAGCCAAATTTTGATCAGAAAAGAGAAACTTACCAGCATCATAACACCAAGTGGTTGAAAAACTGCAGATGAGTTTGCATCCGCATGCAGGAATATTGCAAGACCAGACACCATACACAACACCACGAAATAATCCATAAACTTGTACGACTTTTTGGTAATAAGGACACCAAAGATCATGGTAAAGACCACCCGAGATGATTTAATCAATGTCTTGGCAGGATAGTTGATGTATTGCATTGCCAAATTTGTCATTGCCAAGTCAACAGCTCGAAGGAGCGATAGTCCCATATAAAGCTGCAGTGGCACTGGGATTTTTGAATGAAACGAGCCGCTTGAGGCGTTGGACCTTTTCGGTGTTAACTTTGCCCTTGAGGATTTTCTGTACACAAAGGTTCGAAGAATAAATGACAGAATTGTGTACCCTGTGAACTGGAATGTAGCAAGGAAGAGCCCGAGTTGACGGCTACAAAGTTCCACTGACAGCAACTCTTGCAGATACCCGTACAGCAGTGTGAAGCAAAATACACCAGTGGCGCAAACTACAAACTGTCCACTTCTTGAAAGGTGTGAAATGTCAACACCTAACACTAGCACAGGTTCTGAAACCAAATCCTCAAAGAAATCAAGGTCTGATGCCGACGATATCGTATTGCTGGAATTGGGAGCCGAAGGTATGCTCCTTCCTGCCGCGACATCGGCATCATCGTTTCCAAATGTTCCACGTTTCCGTCTCGGATTCCTCATTTACTGTAATTGTCACAAAAATTGACGGCTATTCTCTGATCAGAAAGGGATACAGCGCTAGCCACAGCGTACTGTTCAGTGAAAGGACAAGGTTTACTACCCAAATTTTTTTGAACTCAGTCATTCGTCGACGCAAGTGTGTAACGGCTAAAAACGGGACGAATTGACCTAAAATAGTCCCAAAATAGTCCCAAAAATAAACAAATCTAAAAGTTTCAGGCAGTCAACACTGTTATCCAATCTTCCGCTTCCGCCTTGGTCGAAGTATTTATCAATGCTCTCTTGATCATGATCTTTCCAAACATCTTTTGGGCACCAGTTGGTGACGTCGTTTCCGTTAGCTCAAAAGCAGTATCATTCTTTCTCAACACGGAGCAGTTGGCCAAAACCATGGAATCACTGGGGGTTATCGAGTCACTCCATCCACGAGAAAAGTTGGTCTTTCCCGAAGTCATGTTGGCAGAACTTGGAACGAATACCGAAGGAACAAGTGTCTTGAAAGCAATCTCAGGTGAAGATCCTGGAATGATGGACTTGGTGTCAATGTCAAACAAATGCAAGAAGGAATCCGCTGTAATGATTGCCAGACAAGTCTGCCATTTACTCTCCAGCCTCCTCTCAATCACTTTAGCCTTGGTAAGAAGATCACTGAGTAGTGGTGACTCTAGCTGTGGAACATCTGTTTTCTCTTCGTCATTATCTCGTGATGGAGCGGGCGACAATGCAGCCAAGTCGGCATTGTACTTTTCGGTACGACTTTGGATCGCACTTTGGACTGTTCGTTCCACTTCTTCCAAGCTGATTTCTTTGCCAACAAGCTCCTCGAGCACTGCGTTGTGAACACCTGGTAGACTCAAGAACAAGCGCTGTTGCCGTTGTACGAATGCAACGAGAAATTCACGCAAATTGATCCTCCTGCTACACTCTTCTTTTTTCACGGAAGCAAACAAATTTGTCAACTCCGTATTACCCTTTTCCCATGCAGCATTTTGATAGGCCGCTGCAACACGATATTGCATTTCAACAATCTGTGTAACAGATATATAGAGATGAATGTGATTAGTGACTTCTAGCCACAACGAAAAACCAAAGTATCAAACTGCGATTGTACACAACAAGCAAGTACATACCCAAGGATCCAATTCACCACGTTTCTTTGGAGATTCCACTTGCGACCGTGGTGATTTACTAGGCAAAAGAGATCCGTCATTTGAGAGAGAATTGCTCTTTATATATGTACCTGAAACATAGACAAACAGAAAGAATCAGAAACAATCAAAAGTAAGTCATCCATCACGAATCCACAAGTAGTCACTTTGTTTCCAAAACATGACAAACGTAGACGTACCCCAAGCCTTGGTGACTTCTTGTTCCGTCTTTTCTAATTCGTCGATTATGGAAGATCCAAGAGTTTCCATTTCCGTAAATTGCTTCTTTAAATTCGTGTGCAGTGTTTGAATGGTTTCTGCAATCTCTTGGTCCATATTTTTAGCGTTCTCTCCAAAGCGGTTAGCCAATGTCCCATGAGATTCTCGGATTTCTTTCACCACTGTTATTGATTTTGCTTGAGACACTTGTGCTCGAGAATTGGCAAGACGCTTTTGTAGCTTGTCACTGGCGACATTGCCCTTTTCATCCAGAAATACGTCATCGTGTATGGCTTGCATTGCGTTGGAATATTGCTGATGTGCTCGACATGTACCCAAGACTAGACGTTCCGCACGACCAGTCTCTTGCAAACTCGCAGAAAGTAAATCCTTGTATGATTTCCAGTAGAGTGACATGGAATCTAGTTTCGAAGAATACACGGAACGTCGTTTTGTTTCGTATTCCTTTAACTTCTCAAACAAGCTCTGTCGATCGTTATCAGCTTGTTTTTTCTTTGACTTTTCTCCGGACCATGGTGCTCTTTTCTTCTGTTGTTCCTGTTGTTCCTTGGAGATTGCAAGTCCTTGGACTTCGTCTCCTAGAGCTTCAATCTCGTCCATGGTGGTTATTGGTTTTGCGACAACCAGTGTTAACCAGTGTTGCTGACGAAATTTTTTGATTGATTCGTACCTCATTACACCCTCACTAATCGAATGAATCAATCAATCGATCGTCCAAATCAATCAATTTATTTGGGAAAAACTGCTTCAGTTCTTTTGTGCGGGGTCAACCAAAACAGCTTTTTCAGCTCAAGCAAGCGAGCAACAACTGCTTCAACTTATTCTCAGCGGCGTCAGAATGAATCGATTCATTCCGCCGCTAAATTCAAAAACGCCCAAATCAGAAACCTTCGTTGGGTCACGGGCACAGGCTTATAAATCCGGTTCGTGTGTACGTCCGCTCAACAGCGGCGGATCCCACACAATCAGATTCAAAGAACAAGCAAAGATTCTCTGCCTTTAAGTATTGACAACCAATAGTCCGAATTCGTGTCTCCGACTTATTGTCAACGCATCGATTTTAGATCGGCCATCTGCTCCAAACTAGTCTTCACTGAACATCTGTTTCAATCCCCATAAGAGTCGTATTGTTCTTTCACCTTTCTTTACCAAAATTCAACTACGAGACATCATTTTCATTTCTCATATCTCAGGAAAACTTCTCCAAAGCAAAGGATAGCAACATAAAACCAACAATAATGACAGCCTCATCCTCAACTAGTTCCACCAGATCCAGCTTCAGTGGGAGAAGTCGCAGTAACTCTACTTCGTCGGCACACCACTTAAAGCACTACGTAGAGCACAACTACCACGACCATATGCACGATCCTATCGTGGAAGATACCACCGGTGGGGAACAAAAACGACGTGCCCATCGTGGCGGTGTGGCAGTTCCCTTTCCAGAAAAGCTACATTACATGCTAAGCCGCGTAGATGCCGAAGATGTATCGCACATTGTCTCGTGGCAACCACATGGACGTTGTTTCATTGTCCACAAACCTCAACAATTTGTAGAACAAGTGATGCCAAGGTAAGCAGACTAAAGTTTTTCGGCAATGCATGCATTCATGTATTGAACGCTCTAACAATGGTCCATTCTTCTTCCTATTTTAGGTTCTTCAAGCAAACCAAGTTGACTTCCTTTCAGCGTCAGCTCAATCTTTATGGCTTTGTTCGACTTACAGCAGGAATTGATCGAGGAGGGTAAGTCCGTTGAATCTTTTTCTTTTAATGGCGTTCGCTTTTGTGGAACGGAATGTACTAACAACCATTTCTTCTATTCACAACAGCTACTATCACGAGCTATTCCTTCGAGGACGAATGGATCTATGTCGCAGCATGTCGAGGACTCGTGTTAAGGGAAATGGAAGCAAAGGAGCATCTTCTCCAGAAACCGAGCCCAACTTTTACAAGATGCCCCCGGCCTCTGAGAATAGTCCTGAAGAGTTTGGTGGACCTTCGGTTGTGTCCGTTTCTGCTGAGAGTGCGGACGACTCCAGTCGAGACAGTCCCAACTCTGTGCCAATCGAGGTGGAAGTCCCATATCATGATACTCTCACTTCCATTGTCGAGGGTACTACTGAGCTCGGGGGGGCTAGCACACCATCCATGCCCCGGTCACCATCACAATCGAGCCTTCCTTTGGTTTCTCCTGTCAATGAACACGGCAAACGAATTATCTCAACTCCAGGTCCCATGAATTTGACAAACTGCGTTCCCATGCCAGTAGATCTATTTGATTTTAGTGTGCATTCGGGAGATATGCTACATTTTGAGGGACTACCCTTTCACTACCTGGAAACCAAAGACGTGGAAGAAAGCCTCATTTTGGAAGTTTAAAACGGAGATATTGTACATGACGACGATACATGATGACGACAATACATGACGACAACAGAGGGCAATTGAACAACAAGTAGATATATGAGTGAGAGATCACGCCTAGAAAATAATGCATGAATGAGAATAACTATATAACAGCTGTATCAAAAAAATCTCTGTATAAATCTGGTATGATCAGTGAAACCAAGTAGAAGAACAACAAACGTGTCTTGGATGCGATGTTTTGACGCCTCACTCACTCGTGCGTGTTGACTGACTCATAATAAGGCGCGAGGGAAAAAAGATCCCTACTTTCGACTCCTGCGACCCAAATTTGGTTTGACTCCGACGACCAACAACATTTTTTCAAAACTCATCCACGCACCCTGCTTCTTTATTGCTTGTGCTGTTCATCCACCATGCCAACCAAAATTATATTGGACAAAAAAGATGACGAGGAAGCTCTAACGCCAGTACACGAAAACATTAATAGGCGTCGTTCCTTTCGGTCCAATCGAAACCGAGCGGCTTCACCGGACAATGTGACATCCGTGGATCAAACCAAGCGGATCGTCAACTTTCGAGCGTCTATTTTCAGAGAGGAACTAGCTTCACAACCTATTCAAACTGGACTCTCATCGACTGATATTCGAGCTTCCCCACGCCTCATTGGCTACCTATATCAGCTATTGGCATGCATCGTCTTGTCCATTACGGCGATCAAATTTGATCAGAATTCCCAAAACGAAACATTGTTTAGTTTGGGTTGGGATTATATTTTTGCTACAGATGCAAGAATCTATCAATCCATCAAGGGTCCAGTATATTATTGGAAGGTTATTGGATCTGCAATTGTAGGAGCAGTAGGAGGTGGCATATCCTTGCTGGTGGTATTGGCGCATATTGATACGATATTCCTACCCAAGACCTGGTACAAGGTCTTTCGAGATGGTAGCATGTTCGAATGCTATCTACTGCGATTTTTGCTCATATTTTACACGGCTGCCCTTCATGTTTCCACCAGTAGTTTGAGCGTTGGCCAAATTGAACCGAATGTATTCTTTACATCATGGATTGCCTTTGCCGCTTCAGTAATGAACTTGGGAGTCTGGCGAGGATCCGCTGGATTTGACTCGATTGCAGAGAAGATCAGCGTGCATGAACGTGCCACTACTTTCAATTGGGTTTGGAGTTTCTTCTTTGTGCTGACATTTGCGGCAAGCGCAACCGATATTTTCTTCAATCGATCGGAAGTCACCATCAGTCACAAAGGAGTAGTCCTCAGTCTTTCGGACAAGGAATGGTACAATGTGCTTGGCTTTTGTTGGTTCTTTGTTTTTGTCTGCATTGTTGCACTTTTATTCAACCAGTTCCTTCACACATCTTGTGAACTACGAGTGTTTGGTGGATCTCGGGTCATTCTTGGCTGGCGGCAATCAGAAGGGATCATCATTTTCTTCATGGTCGGTGTTTTCTTTTGGATTGTCTACGACTATACCGGTGTCGACGCTGTCTTAAACGGATTGCCAAACGCCTACTTTTCGGTCTGGGGCTGTTTCTTCAATTCTATTTTCTTGCTTGGAACCTGGCTGAGAGAAAACAAGAACATTGAATATATTGTTGCCCGCGACCCTTCTCGAAGCAATCATATATACGATGCATGAACGTTCATACAGCGAAATTCAATCCGAATGTTCCACTACTGTCTCAATATATACATATGAAATAAGTCCTTTTTCAATTCAAAATTCGATCGTTACAGCTATTGACAGATCCCCAAAATCGACAAATGAAGGAATCATCTAATAGTTGATTCATTTCACCGCATGCTCCATGTTTATGCTGCCTCAGCTTCCACGTTGCACTCTTCCAAAACGGGATCCATAGCAGATGCCAGAGTATCGACCGTTCCTTGAATATCGTGTAGTTTATCAAGGCCAAACAGTCCCATTCGGAAAGTCTTCATCGGTGAAAGTGGCTCGTCAATCATCCACGGTACACCCATGGCAATTTGCAATCCTTGTGACTTGAACTTCATCATCATTGTTGGGTTCTCAATTCCTGGTGGAGAATGATACACTAGCACTCCTGGTGCTTCAAATCCAGGAGCTGCCACACTCACAAGTCCACGGCTGTCCAAAGCTCCTCGTGCTTTGCGGCCTAGTTCCAGTTGGGCTTCCTTGAGCTCTGGCAAACCAAACTTGAGTGTTTCGACGGTAATCTCATGGAAATCTCTCAGTCCATCGGTCGGCATGGTTGTGTGGTATCCAAAGCCACCACCTTCATAGGCATCCATGATTCCCGACCATCTCTTAAGGCTCATAGAATAGGAGGTCTCAGTGGTGGTCTGCAACTTCTTGGCAGCTGCATCCGACATCATGACGAGTGCAGCACAGCAGGGACCAGTCCATCCCTTTTGAGGTGCAGAGATAACCACATCCACTCCTAGATCTTTCATGTCAGCCCAAACAGTACCAGAAGCGATACAATCCAAGACAAAGAGGCCACCGACATTGTGGACCGCCTCGGCTGCCTTGCGGATGTAATCGTCAGGCAAAATGATTCCAGTGCTGGTTTCCACGTGTGGGGCAAAGACGACCGCTGGTCTTTCTTCATAAATCTTCTCTACGACCTCATCAATGGGGTAAGGAGCATACTGCATGGTCATGCTATCGGAACTGTCAGCTGATTCTTGTGGTTGCGCTTTCAAGACAGTGTGCGATTTGGGAATCATATTCTCGCCGCCTTGGTCAAAAATTTCGGTCCAACGATAGGAGAACCAACCATTGCGAATGACCATAACATGTTCATTGGTAGCAAATTGTCGGGCTACGGATTCCATTCCAAAGGTTCCAGATCTATAGATTTCCAAACGAGTGAAGAAACGCATTGTCAGCATTCAGAAATTAGGTGTCATCATCCGACAATGATCTTTAGGACTTGGCAGAAAAATAATACTCACCCTGGGATAATGGCAACTTTGTCGGCATTGTAGGTTGCCTTGAGGACGTCATTCAAATCACGCATAACCTTTTGGAAAGGATCGGACATTAAGTTCAAGGACCTGTTTGTAAAGATCACTGAATATTCGCTGAATTCTCCAAAGTCATCCTTGGGTACGACACCATAGTTCAGAGTGTCTGAGCCACTGGAAGAAAAGGCGGCTCGTAGTTGCGGCGCTAACCGGGTAGCTCTTCGTAGTTGTAGTTTGGATAGCGATCGGATCATTGTTTGAAAATTTATGTTCGCATGGGCAAGATACAGTATTGAGTGCTCGGCCAATATTCAATATTACGTCGCTGTTTGAAATTCTTCGTTAGTATCTTGGGAGTTTGGTTGGAACGTCACGTACACGTGTACGCTACGCTACGGTACTGTACGTCACCACCATACACCACGGATTCTGCGTTCAAATTCTCTACTACCGGTAGAGCACAAACGTCAGCAGCCTGATTGTAGAATTCCAACAAGTGGAGCACCTTCGACTTCAGCACCTGTTCCAGTACCCTGGTTGAATTCAATACTTTAGAGATAATATATTTTTTGAGACAATGTTTTCCGTATGTTACAATTGAGGTTAATTTTACAGTTGGGAGGCAGAACGAGTTTATTGAGTAGCAAAGTGACGAATTGGAACCACCACAGGTATTTATAGCTGCTGGACTTGTAATGACCTCTATATCCTCTATTTCGTTTTGAGGTATTTTGCATCAGCGATTCCTCTTTAAGGATCCCTTTCTTGAAAGCAATTGTTTGATACAAACTTACATAGTTGCAGTCAAAACATTATGATAATAATATGCGCAGATGCTATTCCAATGACAGCTCAGTAGAAAACACTGATATCTTGGCGCAATCCAAAGTAATGTCCTTGGAGTAACCACTCAATTGGTTGTCTTGAGGTCATTACGATACTGCGCAAGGTTTTCAATGTATACATCCTTGCATTTGGTTCCACAGTTCGTCATGATACCTTGTGTCTCTCTTTTCCCAATTTTTACATGAATTTGCTGGCAAAATCGTTGGATTGGGTTGGCGGTAATGGGTCTCTGTTGTTGTAGTCATCAGGATCATCTATACCTGCAGCAAGTTCTTGCATCAAATCCGGTGAAATTCCAAATACGGAACTTTGTCGCTTCATGGCCATGGATGGCATCATTGGACGCCTAGCAGCCCCCAGTGGTGAAGCAATCTGTTGACGTTCCTGTTGCTGAGGGTTTACTGACCCACGACCACTCTTATCTTCCAATCGACTAGCAATTTTTTGCCTGGCCATTTTCTTCTTGAGATTGTTGACAGCTGCAAGACGGAGAGTTTCCAATTCTGGCATATTGACATCCGGACCTGAATTGATCATGGATGCTGACGATTGCCGTGAGAGATCTAATACTGGGGCTGATGACTGCCGTGTCACATTCATCATCATTGGTGGAGCCATTGGATCGGATGCGCGGATTGGAAGTTGTACAAGGGAGGGGTTGGGAAGACTGCTGCGTTTTGGAATGGCCTGACCAGCTCTCAATGCAAATATATTACGAAGTGCATTCATGGCATCCTCGTTCGATAGTTTCTCATAACCATTGCCCCCTTGTACCAGAAATCGCCCCGTCCAGATTTTTACAGTCCCTACTATTTCATTCAGAATTTTCTCTTTCTCATCAATAGAGGCATTTTGATATTTGGACGCGTTCATTGCAATCAGTACGTGAAGTCTGTTATTTCCAACACTTTGACTGTTTGGGTCAAGTGCTTGGCCGCCATCCGTAAGCATTACATCCATTCGCCGTAAGGTGACTCCGCCGGCTTGTGTAGACATCCAATCTGGCTCCTCTTGTGTACCACCAAGCTTCATCTTGGACAACTTTTTCTTGCTGTCTAATACTGATAGCACCATACTCTCTGAAGCTGATCGTCTGAGTAAGGAAGATCTTCGTCTCCTCTTCTTTTCTTCAAAAAACTCTTGCATTGGTGGAGGCCTGATGGGACGAAGCACGCTGTGCAAGAATAGTTTTGCATTTTGTTCGTCCATTTGATTCCAAAACACAGATTCTCCTGAATTACTTGATGAGCTCACTAGGAAACGTCCCTTCGGAACACACTGGTGACACACTGTAGCAACGATCTTTTCTACGATATTGTCGCATTCCCCAAAGTCTGCACGACTTCTAGCAGAGTCATAACTGGATCGGTGCATGTTCAGGAAAACTTCCAATCGATTGTTCCCGGCATGGTTTTTGCCTCTGTCCAACTGATATTCCTCGCTCTCTCCTGGTATTGGCGGGGCTACGAGAACATCGTAGTTGGTGATGTCGATGCCGTTCATGCCCTCAATTCTTGTCAATTCTTTTTTTTTTCAGCTGTATTCAAGCAGTATCAAAAATAAGCAGTACCAGGTACCTTTAGAGTAATGAAAGTCTTTTTGCTGTGGACTGGGCATGGAATAGACCTGCCTCTCAACACACGACCTTCCGACAGCAAAAAGACATTTTCGCCGTTCCAGGTAACAAGTGTACTACAGTAGATCACAGTAGGGGACCACTGGGGGAACTCATTGTGGGTAATCTCCCCCAAAACAGAGCACACCTTCAAAATGTTATACTTTTGGCCCATATTTTCTATTTTCCTAGTAGTCTCCATACCACTGTAATATGTCAGCTGAAAACTGAATGCAGAAACCAAGGCTTTGCTTGACGTTGCTTCCCTAATTTGGATGAATGATTTAGAATCATTTAGATTCGATAGGCCTTCTGTTTTCTGACTGATGAGTGCTGTGCGTGAACGAAGAACAAGCAGAGAGACTGCCACCAACTTGTCAAGTCATCATTTTTACCCGCCATCTTATAGCGACTTTTGTAAACGGGGAAGGCAGCAGGTGAAGTATAAAGCAAAGAATCATCCGAGAGGATGAACGGCTGCAATGTTTGGTGGAAGCTGAGGTGAGATACGTGGGGTAACCCATCTACACCTGAAACGAAACGCCTTGCCAAGACTGCAACCACCCCATAAGTCTCTCTCCAGACATTGTTTGAAATCGATGGTTGGTTCCCACGAATCATGATTAAGAAACACACAAGAAAGATGAAGACTAAGTTATCGAATTGAGAATATTAATTGTTGCTTCTTGTCGGACCCGCACTGAAAGACTGATTCCGCCTGCAGTATGATGATTATGAAAGCGAGCTCTACTATTGTTTTCGCTATGTTCATGGTGACAATTATCCCGTTGGTCCTGACAAACATCCATACGGCATCTACACACAGGGGTATGAGTTAGCAAATAGTCGTGTTGTGATCATGACCACGACTGCCGTCCAATTTATGTACGCGGCGTGACCATTTCGAATAATAGTGCGTACGGCACATGCCATCGGATGATATCGGCAGCGGACACCACCTGGGATCATGATGAGCGCACACCTTGAATAGCGAAGTTTGTGCGATTGTGATGGTTTATCTTGGATCGCCGTGAGGTGAATTCTTCAAGGATTTTGGTGAAAAAGGGAGGACATGTCGTTGGTGAAAAGGAGCCTGCTGTCTGAACTGTACTTTGAGCAAGGCGTTATCTCGTTGCTATTGACGATGAGGACACTAGGTATTGAGCCCAAGACAACCAACACTTGTTTGAATGTGATGGCAACGTACTGTAGAGCGCGGTTGAATGAAAACCATCAAATAAGGAAAATACAGTAGAAAATGGAGGTCTATGAAGGTTCTTTGGATTGAGAAAGTGCTAACAGATAGTGGCTACAATTGATAAATTAGAAAATTAGCTGCTCCATAACCAAATGGTAAGTGTTCAGCTACGGTACCGGTACCGGTACAGTAGAAGTCTTAGCTTAACCTCCTGTATTAGTCCTGGTACGGTAGTTGGGACTGAAACAATTTTATCAGAACCCTGAAAATATGCCGCCAAGGCATTTGGTTCGGTCCGGTAGTTTGCCTACGTTCGTTCCACGCAATCCCGATCCAGTTAATCGTAGAATGAGACATTGCAAAACACAAAAATTTATGACCGTTTCAAAATCAACATAATGCATTACAGTACTGTGGGGTGATAGGTTGAAGTGGCGAATGACAACTACCATGAACAACAGCCTAGAAGAAACACTCAAGAAGCGTCGAGAAGAAGTCTTGCAAAAGCGTCAAGCCGATCAGGTATGAAAAATGTGGAAATTTTGGAATGACAAAGTGAAATTCAAACTCACTCTTCTCGTCGCCTGACCAAACCACAACAGGACAAAATCACTTCGCTTCAGTCAGAGATACAAAAACACATCAGCAAGCTTCCAAGACGTCCAAAACAATCACATGAATCACTTGACAGAAAAATAGTGTAAGGAGAGATTTTCTATTTCAAGAGAGCCTTCGATTGCAATGTTTCTCACTCTTGGAATTTGTTTCGCCACGACAGGGAATTGGAAAAGAAACGAACCATCACCAGCATGCCGTTGGCTGAAGAACGCGAAATCTTAAAGGAAATCAGCTATACAAAGAAGCAAAAACTACAGCTAGATGAATACAATGCCATCGACAAGCAACTTGCAGAAAAGAGGGTACGTGGTCGTTGTTATGGTCGTCGTGTTTTTTTCTTCGAGATGGCTGACTCAACACACTTTATCATTATGGATAAAAATGGGAATATATAGGCTACCATCACCAATCTTCGAGATGGACTAAAAGTACACACCGTCAGTCTTGGAGAAATTGATTCGGCATTGGCCAAAGTACGACTAGCGACCAAATTGGAATGCAAAACCCAGGATCTCGTCACGTCGGAATTCGATTGTCCGCAGGACAAGCTGGGTGTGGTTATTGGAAAGGGTGGTAGCATGATCAAGAAGATAGAAGCTGCTACCAAAGTTAGTTTGGATGTGAATAAGGATACCAATAAGATTACCATCGAGGGAAGTCCGATGTCGATTGTTTCCGCAAGTGCCGAAATTGACAAGTTGATCCGAAAAGAAGCCGAATCGGTCGACGTGCCCAAACGACTCTTGGGATATCTTGGAGAGAAACATATTCCTATCATGAAAGAATTGAGAGCGGCAAACGAAGACGTCACCATTGATATGGTTCGTAGTTCTGGGAAAGTGAATGTGATCGGTCTGCCAGAGAGAATTGAGGAGATTAAGAAATCCATTCTACAACTCAATGTTATCACCAAAGAACGCACATTACTACCAAATGAATTGCCAGTTATCATCGGTAAGAAGGGATCCACAATTAGCGAATTGGTCATTAAGCACGAGGTTTCCATGGATATCGAGAAATCTGGTACTTCTACTACCGCCTTTGTAACGGGACCACCCGAACTTGTGAACTCCACCTTGGCCGATATTGACACAATGATCAAAGAAAATGAAGAAATTTCAGATCCAATCCACGTGGAGCTCATTTTCAAAAAGATTTTCTTACACCAGTCTGGAAAGATCATCAAGGGACTCCAAAAGGAGGTCAACGAAGCTCTCAAGGAAGGAGCAGAAGGTATTCCTGCATCCTGCATAATAAACTTTGATCCGAAACATCCTGATAAGAATGATGCCATTCTGATTGTGAAGGCGAGACGGTCCGTTTTGGAGAAGGCTTCGGAACTCACCAAGACCGGGTTGGAGAAATTCAAAGATTTGGTCATCAAAATGTCTGCGGACCCATACATTGTCCCTCGAATCATCGGAAAGAATGGTGAGATCATCAAGAAGTTGACCAATGGCAAGCCATGCTTTATGGAAGTCAGTCGTACTTCTGGCGAGGTGGTCCTCGGTGCTACCAATGCCACTGATTTGGAGAATCTCAAGAAGGAAGTTGATAAATTGATGGAGAAGAATGCACTCCTCCGAATAGATGCTACCAATCCGGATATGATGATGACACAAGTTCGTGAATTCAATCGCTCGAAAGTCAAAAATGAAATGTTGGCACTGGCCAACGTGGATGTTGATACAAAGCAAAAGTGTTTCATTCTACGCGGTGAAAAAGAAAAGTTGCCAGAAGCCAAGAAAATGTTCGAAGATTACTTGGCAAAGACTTATATTGACGAGTTATCTATCACTGGTAATGATTTAGCAGACCTGCTAAATGGAGGCAAAGGCAGCATGCTTGTCCGCCTGTCGAACGAAATGAATGCGGTTTTGAGAGCTGACAGAGACCGTAAATTGGTAATTATACGTGGAGAGGAAAGTGCTGTGAAGGATGCCAAAATTCGCCTCGACCAATTTTTGCACGGTGGAAATGGTCACAGTGTGGCTCGGGTGGTAGTCACTCCGAGCATTGTGGGGGGAATCATTGGAAAGGGTGGAAAAAATCGCCAGCAGCTGGAAACGAAGTTTGGTGTCACAGTCCAAATCTCAGATTCTAATGTCGTGGCAATTCGTGGCCCAGAAGAAAAAGTAGCAGAGTGCAAAATTGAAGTGCTCAAGATGGTTGCAACTGCTCGGGTCACTCAAACTGTACCAGTCGACGACGATCAAAAGAAGAAACTCGAGCAAAACAATACAATTCGACGCATCATCAGGGAGACTGCAACACTGGTTACAGTTGCAGATGGCAATGCGTCAATCCGTGGCTACTTTTATGACGTCAATGATGCTGTTGCGATGCTTCATGAACAGCTGAAGGGTGAATACAAGAGTCTGATCGAGCTTGATTCTTCCCAGTTTTCACGAGTTAATGCATCAGCTCGTGATGCGTCCCATTTTGACCGCATTCAGGCAGAAACAAGCGCATCAGTAGCCATCGATTCCGACAGTGGATCAATTCTTGTGAGCGGAAAGCGTAGTAATGTCAAAAAGGCGAAGGAGCAAGTCTTTGGATTCTTGAGTTTTGTGCTCCCTGGAGAAGTCGAAAAAGTAAAGATTTTGGACCCATTGCAAGCCTCAGTTGGGAAAGCTGCTTCTCTTGCTGAGATTGCAGCACTGGTGGGCGGTGCTACAATTTATTTGGACAGGGACATGGGTGCCATTGTCGTGAGGGCATCCGATCGGGACATGCTCAATCGTGCCAAGGAGCTGATTCAAGCGAAGGTCAAGGAGGCAGAAAAGCTAGTGTATGTCTTACAGTTGGAGCCAGCCGACGCTTGGATCATTAACCAAATTATGGGAAAGAATGGAAGTCAAATACAGTCTCTGCAAAAATCATTGGGTTGCACTATTGATGTTTCAAGAGAAAAGCGAACGCTCACTGGTCGAGGGGAATCAGAGGAAAAGATATCGGCATTGCGGGCGTCCTTGTCGGAAATTGTTGACAAAGCAAAGAGAGAAAACGCTTTAATTGTCTTCCCAGAAGCTGCAATCGGTGCTTTCATGGGCAAGGGAGCCAAAAATCTCAAGGAGTTCTCAAAAACTCATGAGGTTGAACTCTTGCGATTGCAGAAAGGAAAATACCAATTCCGAATGAATGGTGAAGAAGACAAGGTTGCGGCTGCCCAGAAAGCGATAGCTGACTGGCTAGTAGACTGGGAAGACAATCGAGCTACTATCCAAATTTCCATAGAGGACCAAATCATTCCAGCTGTGCTTGGACCAAAGGGTGCAACACTGAAGTCCATTGAATCCGAGTTTGAATGCCGCATCGATATTAATCGTGACGCGTCGACGCTGACAATTCGGAGCGGAACGAAAGCTAGCAGACAAGGTGCCCTCGAAAAGGTGGAGTACATCGTCGAGAAAGAGACAGAAGCACGAGCTGAAGCATTGGTCCGTAATAAAGAGCGCGAGGCAGCAAATGCTGCCAAAGCTGAGAAGAACGAAGGAAAAAATCATAAAAAAGTGGGTGGGACTTCTGCAATAGATACGAGGGACGAACGCCGCCACTATGTCTTTCCGACCGTTCCAGTTGGAGTGAAGGCGCCAGCTTCGAAGAAAAAGAATGGAAAAGGAAACACCACTGCTGCAGGAGCAACTGCAACTGCTACTGGTCTGTCTCTCTTTCAAATGCTAGCCGCAGACCCAGTTCCTTCGGGGGAACAGTAACCATTGATTTCTCTAGCACACATAGAAAAAACAAAATAGATAAAATTGAACTATGGAAACCAGCTTTGAACCTAAAGTCCTTGATGCCTTTGTAGCCTCCAATGCATTGGTTTGACGATCAAATCATTACACGTTGACAGACTTGTTTTTATTGTCCATTTGGTTCAAGAACTCATCACTTCCCAGGTCCAAAAGCTTGGAGCTCATACCCTCTACCATTTCACTCATTTCGTCTTGATAATCCTTCATTTCCTGCCGAAGCTCTGCTTTGTGGGTAGACAAGATTCGAATTGCAAGAAGTCCAGCATTCATGGCGTTTCCAATCGCTACAGTTGCGACTGGAACACCGCGAGGCATTTGAACGATACTGTACAAGGAATCCACTCCACTCAGTGTTGAAGTCTTAACAGGCACACCAACGACAGGTAGAGGGGTCATGGCAGCGACCATTCCTGGCAAATGCGCGGCACCACCTGCACCCGCTATGATAACGCGGATGCCCCGATCCGCAGCACCCCTACTGTACGACATGAGCTTGTCAGGGGTTCGATGTGCTGAGACGATGTCAACTTCATATGGAACCTTGAACTTCTTCAACATATCGATCGCGGCATTCATGGTTGGAAGATCACTTTGAGATCCCATAATGACACCAACCAACGGCGAGGAAGCAAGTCTACCCCCAGGCATCAGAGAAACTGGAATTCCTTCCAGTGCAAACAATTCCGACAGGCAACCATCCAACTCAGCTTGTGAAGATCCAGTAAGATTAATGTGACCCATCTTTCGACCTGCTCGGCATCCTTGCTTTCCATACCAGTGAACAACTGCTGTAGGCATTGCCAAAGCAGCGTTCGAACTCTTGAGTGTATCCTCTGATGTGCCCGAAGGAGCTCCCAAAACATTGACCATAGCTGCAGCCTCTACAACCATTTTAGTCGATCCCAGTTTCATCCCACAGACTCCACGAAGGTGGTTTTCAAATTGACTGATGACGCATGCGTCTTGTGTGTAGTGCCCCGTGTTGTGAGGGCGAGGTGCTACCTCGTTCAGCATCACCTTACCATCGTTTGTGACAAACAATTCTACTCCAAAAACTCCAGAGGCTTTTGCTCCCAAGGACTCGATAGCCTTCTTCGCTAATCTTTCGCATATTTCTCTTCTTTCGAGAGAGACGTTGCGTGCTGGCGCCAAGACAACCCTACAGATCGAATTCTGCTGAATAGCATTGACGGCTGGATACGAGCTAGTTTCAGAGCCATTAGCAGATCGCACGACCATGACAGCAACTTCACAATCGAAGTCGATCCAACCCTCTGCATAAACGCCTAGGTCGGGGGCAGAAGTGTCCTTGCACCCCAAACTGGCCAAAGCAGCCTCAATGTCAGCATCTTCAGATGTCTTTAGAACGGCATTTCCCCGTCCGTCGTATCCTCCCTTTCTAGATTTCAACATCAGTGGTAGACCAAGAGTTACAGCAGCTTGTTTGATGGCGTCTTTTGATGGCGTATCGGCGAATGGAGGTAGTTCAATGCCGTGGGATTGAAAGTGCGTCTTCTGGACAAGTTTGTCTTGAATTGTTCTTAGTACTTGACCACTTGGCTGAACGTTCACACCCTCCTTTTCCAAGGCTTCCAAGGTCTCAACATCAACGTGCTCAATTTCAACAGTCACAACATCTACACTTTTGCTCAACTCTCGGATCTTGTCACCATCCTTGAGTCCTCCCTCAATGATGCTACTCGAGGGGACAATTTGAGCGGCAGGACACTTGACACCGCCTGGATCGAGAAACTTCATCTGAATTCCAAGTCGAGGGGCCTCCAGCGCCATCATACGCCCAAGTTGACCACCTCCCACGCATGCTACGCGGATGGGTGAAGTATCAGATATCTCTCGGAACGTAGCCATGCTTGAGGTTTGTTTTCTATTGGGTGGAATCTTTCTTTAGGATTGATGATTGTGAGTGATTGGGGGTGACGCAAGGACCATTGGACTGACTCATATGACTAATATTGTTTGTGACATTTATTTCAACGCACACAGAATGATGTTCTGTTGAAATTCAACAGAGCTACCTATCCAAAAAAAACGGGGAACAACAGCCACAATGCTCACAACTATGCTTCCGCGATGTCTAATGGGCCTCGTCTACCTGTTGTTGTTGTCTCTTCTTCCATGTGCGGCCTCGCTTACACAAAAGAGTGCTCAAAAGAACATAGACTGCCATGGATCGGCACCTAGAAGGTCTGTGTTGATGCACAGTTTGCAGGCGATTGCTTTTGCATCTGTAGTAGACGCAAAGCCTGCTTTGGCTCTGAAGGAGCGAAATGAAGCTCTCTGTGGTACGGGGTTCTTTACAAACATAGGTAAGCTCCTTACTAGAGCGTGATCCAAGGTTGTCCCCTTTTTTTTTGAAACACTTATCTGAGTTGATGTTGCCCTCGAAAGCACAATACATGTGTACCGACATCGGTGACATTTCGGATGAAGGCAAATCACGCAAGGTGACAGATTCTGAACTGAGCTCGATGGACTCGCTGCTTGGCAAACTTGGTGCTACGGAAACTACTGAATCAATGGAGCCAGAACAGACAAAGGATGAGACCAAGAATTCTTCGAAGAAATAAACCAATGCAAAAGGCTAGCTTCATGTACTTTCTTAAGTTGTCTACCATACAAAACTATTCGCAAGTGTAGTCAATCCACATCAAAATTACTATATGCCCCTCAGCAATTGAAATGCAGAGTGTGCGAGGAAGGGCTCGGCGTCTTTGTCTCTTGCGATGGGTGTCAAGAAGAGTTTTGACTTTGCGAAAAGCAATCCCTTGAGAGGGTCCCCTGTTTCCTTTCGCCGGCCCAGTCGATAACAAATTTCCCCCATGACCGTGTGTCCTAGCCGTAGATTTCGGGCGGTATAATGATTGTTTTCAATTTCGAGAACCCAATCTTCAAGCTCTTCGACAAATTGCTCGTCGAATTGCTGCTTCTCTTCCATACTTGAGACCTCAAGTAAGTAGCAGAGAGGGTTGAACATTTCGATCCAGGCAGAGTTGCCTTCTCCAATTTGATGATAAGCATTGATAACATGTTTCTTCATAATGTACTCGGCTTCCAGTGCTCTTCCGTTCCCCTTCATCGACAGAACGGCAGGAAGGATCAAAGCCATGATACTGTCAATGTCCTTGGGATCTTGATACGGAAGATACAGGGAAAGAACAACATCAGCTTGCAGTGAAGCGCTCTCGTGATCACCTGCAAGAGAGTACCAAAGGATGCATTGTGAAAGGCATTCAAGCGCGTAATCTTTCCCGTACTTTAGAACCATTGATTCAGAATGCTGGTCGATTTCGTAGACCTTCTGTAGTGGTTTTGTGGCCTCGATTGCTGCATTTACATCTCCATGTTGGGCAAAGTAAGCAGCTTCTAAAGATAATGCACGCAAAATATGGATAGAATCTTTTTTCACAGTCTCAGCAACGCTTCGGAAGTCCTTAATCCATGGCAATGTGGTCTCCGTATCATTAGGATCTATCTCGAAATGCAAAGTAGCAAGACCAGACAAGATAGGAAGCTCTTGTTCTGGTCGTCTCCTCGTTGATGATTTGAGAATCTAAACACATTCGGTGAGACCAGAATCAATGGGATGTTCAAGAGGGGGGTCGACTTACCGTATACGCATCTCGGAAAGTTATTGCAGCACGATCCAGATTGCCCATCGATCGTTGGTTTTCAGCTATACGAATGTGAAGACGGAGGATAGAGTCAAGTATTTCTGCGTCTGAAGCAACTTCGACCCAGTTTTCTGTGCCAAAACATAACGTCAGACTACACTTGATTTCATTCAACAAGATTGGTGGCAAATCACACACACCTTTCGTAGGTCGCAAGTTCTTGTCAACAGGCTGTACGCTCTCGTAACATAACTCCAGCGTATCAAGGTATAGTTCGGCACTCTGGGCTTGCAGGTCCCACTCGTGCAGCTTGGATCCAACTGTCAGTGCCAACGGAGCTGCTTTTCGGAATTCTCCACACAACTTCCAATGATCATACAACGTCAAGAGCCTTGAAATATCATTCCGTCGGATCATCAACCCCTTGTCATACTCCATTGCTTGGGCAATCTGCCTATGAAGCTCGATCTTTCTCTCCTTAAGCATAGTCTTCAAGACGTTGCTGCGCCACATATCGTGACTGAATTCGAAAAAGCGATCGCCGACTGATGGGTATCCAGATGCAGATCCACTGTAATCAAGCGATGGTGTCTTGTTCCTTGAAGACGAACCGCCAGTTGAGCCAGACATCACCGACCTTGCATCAACCTCCTCGTCCGCGATCTCGATAAGGATCATTTCATTCGCCGCCGTATTTAAGGCTTCGTCGATCTCCATTTCATCCATATCTCGGTGCACACGAAGCAAATCAGAGTACGCGAATGAGGTCCCAAGCACTGCGCAGGTTTGTAACACTTTCCGCACCCGTGCATCCAGAGAATCGAATCGATGGAGAAGTGCCTCAACGAGTGCCGTATTTCCTTTCCCTTTCTATAGTTGTGATGATCAGATAAATGGCATTCAAGCGTGCACAGAAATAATTTGAGAAACTTACGCGAGCAATGTGTGACTCATTCAGTCTCAGTTTGCCTTCATCGTTTAACTTGGCTGTCCTGTTTCGTTTAACGTCCTCTAATAGCTCAATAACGAAGACAGGAACCCCACCTGTCATTTCGAAAATATCAGTGCACAAATGATCATCGATAGCGTTTGCAGGATATCGCAGTATTGATTCAGCAAGCTCTTTGATATCTGGTAGTTCCAAGGGTCCAAGCGTGATCTCCATTTTGAAGTTTACAGCAGTTGAGATTCGTCTCATTGCCTGTTTGTCATGGGACCTCATTGCGCAGAGTACAACCATTTTCTTGGTGCTTTGTCCAAGTGCTTGGATTACCTTCCAGGTGAAGCTATCAACCCACTGAAAGTCGTCAATAAATACGAGAACAAGATCTGCGTAATCTGTAATCTTCATAAATGCATGTGCGACGAACTCAACAAGATCACTAATGGCCGGAACCTTTCCACCAATATGAGTCACCGGGCGGGCCAATTCAAGCCCGAGAAAGCGAGCACCAACCAGATTTGCATACTGCGTAGAGTAGCCTGTTTCTTCACACGCCCATTCAAGCTTTTCCATATTCGGAATGTTTACTGTTTGAACGTCAACAATCGACTCGTTGCTATCGCGTCGAGCCATAGACGGCCTGCTTCCTCGTCTCCAATTCCTTCGAGGACCACCAGTTTGTGAAGATCGACGCCTAGTCGACCCTTCTGTTACCGATCGTTTAAGGAATGGTTGATCTAGTGACGCTTTTGTCGGTCTTGGCGAGAGTGGAAACTGCGAACTGTGTCTGTTCTTTGTTGGGTCTGCTTGAGACATATAGGGTGAAAAGTCGTCAGACCTTTCCGTCCCACTTGCATCTTCTGTGTCACTTTCGTCTGCGGAAAAGTATTTTCTATCTTCACCTAGTCTAATTGATCCGTCATGTTCGGATAGCGCACGAATTGCGCCGAGTAAAATCTTCCGGAAAGTTCTGCAAAACATTGTGTGAGATGACGCATTGACTTCTTTTAAAACGAGATTCAGGCTGTGCTTACCGCATTGGAATCCGCTGGTCACTTTCCCTACTCGCGCATCTCAAAATAATAACTTCTTTGTCCTTTCTTAAACACTCGAACTTCACCTCGGTCAAAACGGAGAGCCCAAGCGCAGACTTTCCCATTCCACTCTCTCCAATCAATCCAATGACAGATGATGGAGCCGTGTCTGGGTCATCAAGAATCTGTCTCGCGAACCCCACGATCTCTGTTTTCTCTTCCTTTCGCCCAGTGAACTTAACAGGGGTAGTGCCCCTTCGTTTTCCAGGTTGAATCGCATGCAGGGGTTCGAATGTTGGAACTGGCCTATCGTATCCCTTGGTTTTGACAGGCTGTAGAGATCGAAAGGCGAATCGAGCATCCGCTTGCGCACTAACATTTCCATCAACCAGAATACCACTGTTGATCGGCGATGTCATCAAACGAGCAGCTAAATTGACTGCAGCACCCAGCACTGAAAACTCGTGGCGTGTCATCCCACCAACAACACCACAATAGACCTCTCCGAAAGTTGCTCCAATCCTGTTATCAACACCGAGTTCTTCCTTTAATACTTTGTGGATAGAAAAGGTCGCTGGTAGCCCATTGTTTGCAACTCTATACAACTGATGAGACGGCATATGGAACCCTATATACCTAGAACAACACCAAACTTACAGATTTGGGAAAGTCGATCCCCGCAGTCCAAATGTGGCAATCAATACAACGCCTTCAAGAGAGGGTGTGAATATCAGTAGACTAAATGGTCGAAAATGATAGAGGCCATAAGCACATACCTTTGTCGTCCACAATAAACTGCCGCAGCTGACCACTGTATCGGTCAAGTTCTCGTGACGTAACTGCCATGACATTCCGCAAGGTGCGGAAAAGAACGGAATCAACCTTTGGGTCGCCGATCAATACTGGAGGAATTAACGCGTTGATAAACATTGTATAAACAGATCGAAGCTCTGCTTGTGCCACGTGCCGGTTCTCTGGCTCAAGAGCGTCCCCAACGTTCGACATCGAAGACTCGGATATTAAGGCTCTTGACATTTCATCACCACGGACTACGGGGTGTACATACAATGCAAGTTGTAGGCGAAGTCGAAGAAGAGTCGAATAGTCAACGTTCGCGACATATTTTCGAATGTTTTCATACATTGAAACATCGGAGCTGTCGTCTTTTGGTAACAATTCCAGCAAATGCTGTTCACGAGGTTCTAGTGACAACGGTGTGATTTTTTTCGACACAATATGCACTGGCATCAGGCTATTCGCCATTTTCTCGGGAATGTTGCAGCACCTTGAAAGGGCTCGTAATGCCTCTGGCGACGCCACAACTTCGCCATTAGATGCGAGGTGAGCAGCACGAGAAACCTAAATAGAAGATTGGGTCAGAAAAACCATCCAAGTTCCACCCTCAATTGGCCACAGTATGGTGCCCGCTCACCTGATCAATTGCATCACCGACTACAAGAAACTCCCGTCGAAGTTCGATAGCATCAGTGTCCGCGTGAATATCTTCTTGATCTTCTTGGAAATCACTAACATGAAACCCCACAACACGACCAGCTCCAATTCCGCAATGGACATCCAGAATAGCTTGACTTTGGTCAGCAAAAGTAGAATCAACAGCAACGATGTAGTTGCTAAACTTTTCCACAATCGAAGCTGCGCATCTGCAGGCTTGCCAAACGCGGATATCAACGGGTCTTACAGCTTTCTCTGCCACGTCACTTCCTGCTCTGTGAAGGCATGGTCCATCTAATGAATCTTTGTCGCTTCCTCGCCATTCCGCAAAAAAGGCATCCCCCGCAAACTTGAGTACATCTCCACCGTGACGAGTCACCTCAGTCACAATCATTTCGAAATAAGAATTGATGATTTTGGACAGCGCCTCGACCTCAAGTACGGTCGATAGTTTCGTAAACCCAGTAATATCAACAAACAAGAGAGCACTTTCTCTTTCTCTGCGTGGCGGTAGGGACGAGCGAGGTCCAAGTATTTGCGATAATCGTCTTGTTGGATTCATAATACTCATACTTTCTTCATCCTGCTCTGGGAGTGCCGCGAGATCCCCAGCAGACAACGAACTGAGACTCCCATCATCTGAAGAAGATATCTCCGAATTCGATGGAGAAGAGATTAGAGAGTCCGATTCAGACATGTCATCCTCTTCGGTCATCCCATGCGCCAACAAGTCTTCAAACACAGAGGTAGATACGTGCGAAGAAAAGTTGACCAGAGTTTCAATGAGTTGTTTTCGTTCTACTCCCCTCTGACGCCTTCTCAATCGTTTTGAATGATGAACTTCTGTAAGAGGAATACTCTCGACATCGTCTTTCGCATTATTCGCATTTATGGATGCTGCATTAGTTGTATCACTAATGGTGTCGCTCTGGTGTGCCAATTCATCCGAAACGTTTGTTTCTACCACAGAACCAATCATTGATTCATCAATCATCGATTGACTTGATTTGGATCTAGCAGCAGTCACAATGCTACCACGGCGCTCAATACTTTCTTTGAGACCCTGGATTTTGATAGATTCGTCCTGGTATTCGTTGACAGACGCAAGAGAATGGCGAAGCCTCATTTCTGACTCAATTTTGGTGAGCGATCCCCTTCGTTCAGGCTTGTGCTTACCCTGCCAAGGTGACGCTCTAGTTTCTTGATCATTCTTGGCCATTTCTTCATAGGTACATGCTGGCCCTGAACTCCGTCGCCTCCCCATGTGATTCTGTCGAGGCGGCGTTGAAAATGCGTCCAAAGAAGACCCTCCTCTCACATCATCTGAGCTTCCTTTCAGTGGTATAACGTACTTTTGGAATTTATTTGGCTCATTGTTACCACCTTTTTCCTTTTTGTTCGTTTGTTTCAGGTCTCGTTCTGCCATAGTTTTGCGCTAAAGACATTGTCAAGTCTATCGTCCGTTGTTGTGAGATGCCGGAAATTTTCCCAGCTGAAATGGAAGACTTTCATGGTGTCCGATGCGACATCTCTGACGACATGCCGGAACCTTGCAATCCATTTTTTTCATGTTATATTTTATATATCCTTTAGCATTGTATCTTTAATGTATTCTGCCATTTTTGTTGACTGTGCAACTCCTTCTCCTGTGGAATAGCAAGCAACTACATTCTGCCAACCTTCTTTACTTCCCAGCTCACCAGCCATTTGGTACAGATCAAAGGCACGCTTCTGATCCTTGGGTACACCAATTCCGCCGTGAAGGATGGCACCCGCGGATACTGCCGAATCAGCATGTCCACTCTCAGCTGCTACAATGAAATCCTCTAGAGCGCGCTTGCGATCTTCCGGATACCCTTCGGATCCATGAAAGAAGGAATGACCACGAGTGAACATTGCATCTGTGCTTCCAGCCTCAACCGCCTTGTCCAAAAGTTCCACAAAGGTTTCCAAAGAGCAAGGTTCTAATCCAATATTCGGTTCACCATTGAGGTTGAGTAGCGCAAGATAATACAAGGCGCCAGCATGCCCTTCATCAGCTGCTTTTTGTACCATGTTCAAGCCCGAATATATGTTTTCTCGACCACCCGATGTCATTCGATGTACTCCCACCAAATACATGGCATCGGTGTCCCCCAAATCAATGGCGTTCATAAAGGCTTCCATGGCTTCGTGCAAGTCAGGTTTGAATATTTTCTCGGACGTTCTGTCGGGAGGTAGATCACCATCTTCCGTTTCATCTACTTCATCCAAGTCATACTCGTCGTCGGCCACAGGATAACCAGTCCAATACAAGTTGCCTAGATTGTACCATCCCACTCGAGATCCACCTTCTCCCGCTAGCCGAAACATGTCTGCCGCTTGCTGGACCAAAGCTTCTGCAGCATCCTCACTTTCCTCTTTGCCAGCCTTTTGGAGCCTCAAATTTCCAAGTTGTACCAGAGCCATTGGATGTTGATGTTCTGTTGCAGCTTGTTCCAGTAGATCCAAGGCCTGTTCCTTGAGATCTTCGGGTGTGGCCTTTTTGGCTTTGCGAGTCTCTTTTACTAGAGTCTTGACCACGGCGACACCTTGTGATTTTGGAGTTCGACTTGCTTCTTCGGACTTTTGCCAGGCTTCGTACATTTTCTTGGAACGTTCCTGTTCTCTTTGGTCTTCATCACGCCTAGATTTCTCGATTAGTTCCATTGCTTTTTGGTAGAACTCGTCACCCTTGTCGGAAGCCATGGATGTGGCATGAAACTGTCTCTGAATGATCATGGAAGCATTAGGAGATTCTTGTAGTTGTACTTCATATTGGAAGCTTTGCAGCAAAGGGAAGGATTTGAAAGATCTTAACTTAGGTACTGATACTTTAGTCCCATGACGGAATGCTTTTGCTGAGGTCTGATACAAGATGGTTCGTCCAATCATCATTGCTTTCTCATTTCTCTTCTGAGTGCTGACTAACTCTGTTTTGTGTTCTCGTGTCTCATATTCTCCATGCTTCCAAAGAATACAAATGTATCCAAAAATGAGATACTGTCTGTCCGCCCAACAGCCCGCCGATTCATTCTCAGGAAGGCAACGAACGACATCGTTGTAAAAGAGAGAACGTTGTGTATGGTATTGTTAGCCTCACAATTGTTATATAGTACCCTTTTGCGGAGTGATAACGTCAATCTGTTCTAGCCTTCTCTTTGGATCGGCGGCGTTCGATTCCAAGAGAAGAAAAACAGGCAAAAACATGACGGAGGCGTTTTACAGTCAACTCTTTTTGGATTTGCCGGATATCCGCAATGGCCAAACCTCTTTGCAAGTCCTAGAAATGTATCGAAAATACGTTAAAGACCAAGTCCAAAAGGAAATTAATAACCTGAGTTCGTTTGCTCTGGCTTGGGGTGCCCATTCTTTGCTGGCCGCGGACGGTCGGATGGTTGTCACCTTGGACATGAAAACTCGATTGGCTTGTTTGCTAGTCACCGAGACGGTGTCTTGTGGCGAGTCTTCGTTTCAGCCAAACGTAAACTCGCCCTTCTTACCGATTCTTGTAAGTGATTCATTGTCTGTTTTAAACCAAAACAAGGAGGAGAATTCGTTGGAGCGAGAGTCCATCTTGGACTTGATTGAATCCTTTCTTCCCATTATTATGGGCAATGATGAACATCAAAAGTTGCTGGCAGCTGCCAATTCGGAGGAACCAGTTTCAGAAGATACCTGGGATATGCTGGATAAGACAGTCAACAAGTGGACAACAGTCTACCAAGATACAAATTATGTTAGTCCATTGCTCTGGGCAAAAACGGAATCGGAACAAAAGGAAATGGCAGCCATTGTGGATCAGCAAGGAGCAAAGCCCGTGTCTATAGATACCATCATGGCTCCTTTACCCAGCATTGATACTCCTTTTGCTCGTCCTTTGCCGCCTCCAATGCTACCACTGTATGGATATGAAAATGAAGAACCACTGGACGGGCCACAAAAGGATGGGCTGGAGGAGTATGCGCAATCAGAGTTGTTGTGGTTGACCCCCAATAATCTTAGGTTCATGATGCTTCCAGGACAAGAAGATTTGAAGAAAGACTCTGAAGAATACCTTCTCATGTTGAAACTTCTTCAGAACACTGGATTCAGCGCACCATTTACACCTCAAGATCAGCGAATCCTTTTGGAGGCTCTGAACGAACAAAAGGCTACAGAGAATGGAGAAGGCGCTTCTGCACTTCGAGAGCAACTGGTCAAAGAGTCAGGGCTCACTGCGCAAAATCTACCACTCATGGTGGAACACAATCCGCTGGTGGCCCACGAATGTTTGCTAGTGCTTTTACAAACATCACCGGAAGAAACCAAAAATGATTTTCTTTCTGCATTGGTTGGTATGGACATGACATTGCATACGATGGAAGTGGTAAATCGACTTGCTACCTACAATGTGAATACAGGCAAGGATGCCATTCTACATCCGGAATACATCAATCTATTCATATCGAGTTGCATTGCCAGTGTGGAGAGCATTCAAGATCGGCAAGCTCAAAATCGTCTTGTTCGATTGGTTTGTGTATTTATTCAAAGCCTTCTTCGAAACAAGATTGTTCATGTGGATGTAAGTGAACCAAGCTTTTATCAAAGTTTTGCAAAGGCCAATGGTGCTGCCTTGTTGTTATCAGATGCGTTCTTTCATTTATCATATCACATTATCGCTCATCGTTCCATTTCTTCTCGATGATCTCTCTTCTACACCAGGATATCTATTTTGAACTACAAGCATTCTGTATCGAGTTTTCTAGGATAAGAGAAGCAGCCGCACTCTTCAAAGTTTTGAAGAAAAACAGTGAACCATAAAACTAAATCGAATTTTTGCCGTGGTCCACAGTACGAGTATACAGATCTGTTTCTTCCTTTTCTTTTTATTACTTTTATTATTATTATCATCATCACTATCATATATCTTCGAAAGCTTTTAGTCTTGGATTCAATGGCGCAATGGCCGCATCGAGAATATCATTTATTCTGTATACTGTCTGATTGAAATCTTCCTCTGTCATTTTGGTTTCTTCACCAGTTGGAGGTGGAATATTTGCAACCTCCTCGGCCTCCTGATGGAGGCGGGAAACAATGGCCTTCCACATTGCTTTCTTGGGACCAAAAAAGCGAGTTGGGAATCCACAGACAAGGGGACAATAATGTCGATGCGCATCCAGTGGTGCAGAATGCCTGCTGGAGAGCTTTGCTTTCTTGGCTGGAGGGCTTTTGGTCGTCGCCTCCTCTTGCTCGACTTGTTGTTCTTGTTCTAGTTCCTTCTCCAACGTTAGCTCCATTCGAGAGTAACAGAACCGACAACCAAGTATTAGTGGCAATGGGGATTCCACATCCGTCGGCTTTTTATTTTCCTCCACAATCGGTTCCCATCCCAAGAGTGCTAGCATGGCAGCACTCTCGTTGGTTTTGAGTTGGGCAGCAAGCGATATATGTGGAGAATCTACTTGTTTGCGTTCTGATTCTGGTACTTCTAGTTTGGGGAACTTGTAGCCAGCTGGGCAGCGCTCTTCTAGCTGCTTGGCACGACTTTGGAGCAATGTGGATGGTCTCGGATGCTCCACCAATTCGACACTCTTTCTGGGAAAGACATCCACAATGTAGGAAGGAATGCCTTCTTCCTCTTCCTCTTTTTGGTGATTAAGTAGAAATTCCTTTCCTTCAACTTTGAAAGGACAATTGGATTTGTGATAGGTCGCCAGCTTTTCACGGTAGACATTACAAATCTTTTCTTTCGAGTCGGGGGATAATCCGGGATGAAGAGCGATGGCAAGGGCGGCATGACACGACGAACATACCAGCAAGTCTTTTTCGGCATTTCGCCATCTGTAGTAATAATGCAAAAAGCAACAACACCATGTTAGTACATTGTGGCATGTGTGTTTGTAGATTCGTGTGTAGCTCGTAGACCCATGACACGGGATCAAAACAAGACATTCGGATGGCAAATCACTTTTCTCTTGGAACGGTGGGACGAAAATTGTCCAGCACAAGTTAGTATGGATGCCTCAAATAAATTTTAATGAATCATCTTGTTGTGCTAGACGGCTTTTTGTCGTCATTCCTTTGCTTGATTGCTTGTTTGCTTGCTACACCAATTGCCCACACTCTTAAGTGCCTCCAAAAACCACGTACCCAAGTCTTGCGCACACAAGAGGAGACAAACAACTTGGCTTGCCAAAATATGCCAGTGGTGAAAAAGAAAAGAGTCTTTTGACATATGCCTTTTGGGATTCCTCTGACATTTTGCCTATCATTTCCGTAGATTTCATGGCGGAATCCAACATGGATTGCAGTCGAGCTTCAATTTTGTCAAAATCCTTTTCTTCTTCATCATTATCGTTTTCAATGTTGTCGTCTTCCTTATTATTTTCCACAGCATCGTCGTTTCTACCTTGGACCATCTTTCGCTGATGTTTCACTAGCTACAGTAGAGTAGACAAGAGATTGTATGGTACTGTGACACACAATTTTAAAACTGTGCAGTTTTAAAACTGAGTGACGCAGTTTCAAAACTGAGAAAGCTAAAAAACTTTCACAATCTCAGAAGTGGTGGCTTGACGGGCGTAGTCATTTTACGAACTTCCGGAAACACCGCGTACCAGGTACCCACAGTCATTGCGCAGTCAGATGTGATATACGGTACACGTACATATATATTATATAATATATGTTATCATACATCGAAATTCAAAAGTGACCTAGTTTGGGATACCCTGTAAAAGCCGTTTTGCTGCATATTTTCAGGCTGTCGCTCTCGTGGTTAAAGCAGTTTTACGCGATATAAATCGAGGTGGTTAAAGCAGTTTTACGCGATATAAATCGAGATTCGTTTTCCACCTACAGTATGCTCTTGTTAGAAATCGAAAATAGGAACAACTATCTCTAGATTCCCTAGTGAAAAATGAATTATTGCATAATATCCAACTTGCTCTTTCGTGGACATTTTGGAGATCGTTTTTCTTCTCCCTCGATGAAGAGTGAGTCTGCGGATTCTCGTCATCTACTATAGTAGATGGGCCACTTAAGGACATCTCAAAGAACTCTTTCTTCCTCTTCATATATTAAAGCAAGAATTGACTCTGAAAACGATGAGTCCATGCTACGGCAGCACAAGAGATGAAAACTGAGGTTGCGTTTTTAGTGCTGGGCTGGACCTACAACTAAAGAGGGGTTGCTTGTCTTCGTACCTGGTAGCTTCCACCACTATAGTACAGAATCAGAACCGCTTTAGATAACAACCTCTGCAGAAATAGTGGGAACCAAGGTTGGGGCGTGGCTGGCTTGTGCCAGTTTTAAGATTGCTGTGACCATAATCTCAGTTTTGAAACTGCGTCACTCAGTTTTAAAACTGCACAGTTTTAAAATTGTGTGTCACATTTGTTCATTTGGATTTTTTGGTTTGGTGGCGTCACACTTAAATGGGGGAACGACGTCAAAGGGGAGGGGGATAACGATCAGCCACATTTCAGCTGAAGATGACAATGATGCGATGCAGGAAATGAAGGGTACGAGTACGATCTATCCGATTTGCTACGATCTATCCGATTTGCTAAAGAACCCCACATCTGAAGAGTTGGACACATTTTTCATCAAAGAGTCCAAAAGGAAACCACAGACGTGTACAGTTATTGCCTGCCAAGAAGAACTTTGCTAATCGTACTACCACTACGACCTGAAGAAAATCATGATGCTTGTGTAGAAATGGAAGCGCACATGATAGCTGTCACGCACGCTGAGTATCGAAAAAGATAAAAAAGAAAAGAAGATATCGGAATCTGCCTGTTGAACGCATGGAGGTGAAAGATAAATACCGGTAGACAAGGAAAGTACTACAGTACAGTACTGTGCTGTGTAGGCTTTACATTTTGTGGTACTAAATCAGACCTACGAAGACCGTTATCACAACCGAAACAAAAAATGCTCCCTCCAAAATTCTCAACCATCACATGACCTCCGAATTATATTCACAATCAAGACAGTGCATGTCCAACATAACGGCGCTCCCTCGCCACAAAAGCTTCCACGACAATGACGCAAAAACCCAAGCACATTGTAGCTGCCGGTAATGCCCTCATCAGTGTCACCGTTTACAAGTCAACGGCCAATCAAAAGGCTGGTATTAAGGTGGTCCAAAAGGCAGATGGGGTTTACATTACGGCCATTGCCAAGGGCGGGCTGTTGGATGGAACTCGAGTGGACGTGGGGGACAAGTTACTCTCGATTAATGGGCGACGCATGAGGCAAGGTCAGGATACCAAGGATTTTATGAAACTGATTTCAACTGCAAATGATAAGGTGACAATTGTCGTGAAGAAAGACAAGGGCCCGACGCAAAAGACAGTCGGCAAGTCACCAGGTAAGACCAAGAAACTGGTGGAACGAGACGTCTTCAGGACCAAAGATGGAAGTTTTGATTACAATATTAATCCGAAATTGGAAGAGTTTGAAAGGTCAATTTCAAAGTTTGATGACGAGTATGAGCAATGTCCCATATCCGTCAACAAACTATTTCCAGAACAAGGAGCCGGGCTTGTCTTCAAGAAGAAGGAGGATATGCTTTTTGTCAGTGGAATTACCTTGGATAGCATATTTGCTGATACAGAGCTTGAATTTGGTGACCGCATTGTATCGGTGATGGATGTCAACTTTATGAACTATGCAGATGAGAAATATGCAAAAACATTGCTGAAACGAGCCAAGGGAGAGGTTCATATCGTCGTTGAAAAGGGATGGAACAAATTAGAAAAGGTTGAACGGGACGCGCGTCATGGTATGCCAAGGCAAGATTCCATGGTTATTCCCAAAAAGAGAGGGAAGGTTACCATTACAAAGGACACTTCTGCCAAGCCCATGGAGAGTTTGAAAGAAGCGGAGGCAACAGATATTGCAGACGAGGACGAGGACCAGGATGCTGTTCCTCCCGCTCCAGAAGAAGATGGTGAGAATCCACTGGTGTTTTCACCGGAAGAGCCCGAATCGAGAAAGACACTTGTAAAAGGAAAAGAAGACGAGAGTCCTGGAGCCGAGGCTCCCGTCCCAATTCAACCAGAAGAGCCCACCCCGAGAAAGACTCTTGCACTCGAGAAGGAAGAGAGTCCTAGTCCAGCTACGGTTACAATCGACACAACAGAGAAAGAAAGTCCAAGCCCAATGCACTCGTATGCATCCCAGAGTCCTGCGAAATCATTCACACCGAATAGACAAAGCCCGAGTCCAGCGAATGGGAACAAGCCAAGAAAGTTTCTTCCACCAATGCCCAAGGAAAGCAAAAAGAGGCCGAGCAAGACTGACGTGGATGCTGGTGACGTCGTGTCAAGGATGCTAAACAAACTGGATAACGAGCGCAAGGGAATCAAGGAGCGACATCGAGTGCGACTAAACCAATCATTCGATGATGCAGCAGCCGACGACAACAATGTCAGTCAAGAAGTGACACCCGAAAAGAAAACTCCGCTGAGGCTCCCTGTGAGAAAATATTCCAGTCCATCCTCAAATGGCTTCTCCACTCCAAGTAAGACCGGGCTCGCAAAGAATAATTTGCTGCAAAATCATCCAGGGGGTTACTTGTCCATCTCGGTCCGGAAGAAGTCGGAACGTTCTCCAGGAATTAAGTTGCGAAGAAAGGACAATATTTTTATTTTGGATCGTCTCCCCCATGATGAGAATCGAATTCCTCTGGGAGTGCAAGTCTTGGCCATTAACGGGGATGATAGTTTTGGTACAGTAGTCAAGGCGAATGAGCTCATTGATTCAAGGAAGCAGGAGGTTGAATTATCTGTGAGCTTTGAGGGGTTGATTGCAGTTCGTGCATCGGACGATCAATGATCAGTGGTGGGGATGGGTTGGGTTGAATTAGATGTTTCGAAAATGAAGTTTATATCAGGGGAAATTCGGGGATATACTGTAAGAGCACGAGCGAGTTTAGTTACACGTGTTTTTGCGAATAGCGTAGTAAAAAGGACTAAATATTTCCCGGAACGTATAAATATATCGCGTCAAAAGATTTTGGTTTCTGTGATTTTTATCACGGCGAAAAAACGTGCTGCATTTGTTTGTGGAAAATATAGCCCTAAACAAGTACCACGTCACTCAACGTCCGGGTCATCATCACCATCTTCAACTTCACTCAACACTGTAAATAATCAGAGTTTCTGGTTTCATTCATTGTGTCAGACGAATGTTGTTTCCAGGCTCGCTGGTTCCATCAATTGCATAGCCACAAGACACAGAGCTACATCACAGAAGAAGCACATTTATTTGTCTCACAGACAATCAGGACATTACAGAGTCAGTCAATCATCTAGAGTGTACGAACATCCAATCATTGAATTTTTGGCGAACAAACTGAGACAATGGGTTCAGAAGGCGAGGGCGAGAAACAAAGACGGGCACCGCCAAGAACGAAGTCGGTGGGTGCTGCTGATGACTTGGTGAGCGTTACTGTCAAAAAGCTCGATCCAGAACAGAAAGCTGGAATCAAGCTTGTGCAAAAAGGTGGAGCTCTATTTGTTTCAAAGGTATTGAAGGGTGGTTTATTTCAAGGATCAGAGATTCAAGAAGGGGATAAGATTCTTTCATTGAATGGACATCGTCTAAAAAGAGGAGAGACTGCTAATGACTTTATGAATAGGTTGGATGACATGAAAGAGAAGATGACGGTGGTTGTGAAGAAAATAGATGCTGCACCAACAAGCGCTGCACGATCCTTGTCGCCGGGCGCAGCCCGAAGGCGGAGGAGGAAGTTAGTGAAGGATGAAGAAGGCATTTCACGTGACCGGGAAGATCATGATCAATTTCGTTTCCGAGCTGAGAAGCTCTACTCCAAGCAAACTGGTGGGCTCATGTTCTGCAAAATTGAGCCGAATTTATTCGTCAGTGGAATTGCATCGGATAGCATCTTCAAAGATACAGGATTAGCTGTGGGTGACAGGGTTGCGAGCGTGAATGATGTCAACTTTCTCACCTATGCCGATGGTAAATATGCCGCCACCTTGCTGAAACGAGGCGAGGGCGGGGTCAGTCTTGTGGTCGAAAAGGGATGGACTACTTGGGACCCAAAATTTACAGACAAAAAACACGACAAACCATCCAAGGAAGAACCACCGGAAGAACAGAAGAGGGAGACAAAGGCGGAATCCAAAGATATAGGGATCAAGGCTCCACTTCGACAAGCTAGTGCTGATGGCGAGGTGTTGAGAGACGAGTTCCTTGGGAAGACGAAGGAGAAGCCGACGCACGAAGACGGGAAAGGTCCAAACGGATTGCGATTTCTGGAACACAGGGGCGATTTTCTATGTGTAACAATCAAGAAAAAGTCTGAAAAGCATCCTGGCCTCAAGATAAGAGAGTCCAAGGGGATGTTTCTTTTGAAGAAAGTTCCAAGCTACGAGAAGAGAGTCGCGCTCGGCTCTCGTGTCTTGGCCATCAATGGAAGCAGCTTCAAGACAGAAGAGGAAGCTCAAGATTTGATTGATCAAACGAGGGACAAAGTTGTTTTAATCATTGACTTCGAGCAGCCAGTGCTGCAGGAATGTCCATCCTGTAAAAAGTGGTTGTTTCCGAATGGGGAAGAGTATAAAGAGTAGCAATATGTGTTGTTTGCTAATCTTATGATTCCTTAGAAAGTGGTATGAATGTGTGATAGGCAAATTATCGTATCATACCGGTACCAGCACCGGTACTTCACTCTATCCTTGCTACCACTACTGTAGTACCGGTACGTAATTTTCGAAAAGTATTGACTTGTTGGTGACGGACGGACGGTATTGCCAAGTCATCTTCATCTGGGGTCATCGCTTTTTGACATTGAAGATTTGGTTGTAGTACCCAGATCCGCCCTTTATAGTTGATCAAAAATACAATCATGTCATCGGAAGACTATACAAAAACCGTTGTGCTGAAGCGAAGTGCAAAGAAAAAGTCTGGATATGCAATTGTGGAGAAAGAAGGAGAGTATTTTGTTGACGCCATTCCCCCAAAAGCCCGTGTTAACGAAGGAGACAAGGTTGTTGGTATCAACGGAATTACATCAGATGAATTCGTCGATGAAGATGACGCCAACGATTTGATCGAAAGTATCCGAATTGTTGTTGTCCCTGAGGATCAAATTGCTGACTATGAGGCAGCAAAAGAAGCAGAAGATGCCGGCGAGGTCGCAGGAGAGGAATCCTCAGAAGAAGAGTACGAAGAAGTACAGAGACCAAGAGGGAAAGGAAAGAAAAAAGCTGCACCCGCAGCTGCTGCAGGCCCCACGCCCGAGAGTGCCTTGGTCGTCCGAGATGAGGAGGTAAGTGCGGAGTATTTGAAATACAAGTTGTCGATGATAATAAATGAATATCTCACAAAGATCCTTAGGATGAAGAAGCGGATCAAGTCTACCCTTGCCCAGAATGCGGCTTTGAGAATGTTAATCCGGAAAGGGACGAAGACGGCGACTTAGCATGTGAAGAATGTGGGGGTTTACTCGAGGTGAGCTTTTCAATTGAAGGAGGGTCGTCGTGCTACTTGCCATCTCATACGGACTTTGCTTCAATTTCAGGCAGTCCTCACTTGTCCGGGTTGCGGATATGGGAATGTCAACCCTGAACCAGACGAAGAAGGTGACTATGTTTGTGCGGAATGCGGAGAAATCCTGGAGGTTAAGGTAATTTATTGAAGTGTACTATCTTCCGTGTCAAATCTACTTGGCTCATTCGCACTTCTTTCACAGGATTTGACAAGAGCAGAGAGACTGAAAGCAATGCACAATGAGGTGGCAGAAACAACAGCTGATGGGCAGACTTTCGGGGCAGACGGGAAACCCAAAACGAATCAAGAAGGGAAAAAACTTACCCCTGCAGATATGTTCAGCCCTGGCGATGTGATCACTGTCACTGTCGGAAAATCCAACCCAAAGCAAGACGCAGGATTGAAGGTGGAAGAAGTCAACGGCAAATACTACGTCAGAAAGATCCCTGCATCTGGTCTCTTTGCCAAGACCCCTGTGGCCGCCGGTGATAAAGTTCTGGAGTTGAATGGTACGGATTCGAAGGGCTACCCAACCCTAAATGACATGAAGAAGACAATCAAGGATGAACAAAGAATCACAATCGTCGTGTTGAGGCGAGACCCCGATGCATCTTACAGTAGTGCTGACAGTGATGATATTGATTACGATAATTTGGCACCTGTTGCTCCTCCTGATTCTGACGAAGATAACAGCACAGTTGGTTACGACGGTCAAGATTGTGGCACAGTTTGGTGTCCACACTGCCACCCAGAATATGCTGAAGGAAATGACCTCATGCTGGAGGAATAACTTTAGTAGATATTTGTAGCATTTCGAATATGGCTACAGTGTGTAGTGCGAAATCAGCTTCTTGCGCTTTGTGTATGTAATTAGAAAGTGATTGTTACGTCTACTCCTTAAAAGAAATCTGTTGTGGATGTGGATATCAAACACAGATAAATCTGCGAGATACATTCCAGTATACATATATATCCTGTGAAAGATTAAATAACAGCTGCTGTGTGGAATATAGCCTACTAGTCGTCGGCGTGCCAAGGAGCTTCGAGATCCTCCGCTTCGCAGTTTAGGAATTGCTTCACAATCTTTCCGTGTGTATCATAGACGATCTTTTCAGAGCTAGATGGAAATGACTGTGTTGGTGTCTTTGCGGACCATTCAATCATACAGTTACGGTCATGAATGATGATATCTTTCAAATGAAACGAACTGTTCACAGTGGGGTGTTGCTTGAATATATTTTGGAAGGCACCGCGAATCTCGTCCAGTCCATGGTAAGATTTGCGCTCTCCGTTGACAACATTCACCATGATAGCATGCTCTGAGTAGTCTGAAACAATACCTTCAAGATCTCTGTGACCAAAGTGGTACAAGAAGTGCATTCGAACCAGGTTCGTTAGGTGGATGTCATCACTGTCAATGACGATTCCTTCTTCACCGCACCCGTTGACAAGCTCAATGGGTTGAAGGCCAAGATGCTCTTTCTTGAGGATCTTGCCTCTTCGGGTGGGAGACGGGGGGATGGTTAATGTCGTGATATCCATGCTTCTGAATGATTGTGAGAGGGTTCTGACACCCTTTTGACGGTGTTCTGATTGATGGAGGACAATTTGGTTTGTGAGGTCAAAGATACCGTGATTGGACATTAGACTCTTGTCTTTCAGATGTCTTCAGTCTGTCGATGACGATGTCTCAGATGTCCTTTTGATTTGTTTGTCTGCCTGTCTGCCTGTCTTTCTGTCTGTCTGCCTGCCATTTTGCGGAACGTTACAAATCGTGCAAGTCGAAAAAAATGCGGTTGTCGGCTACAAGTTGCGAGTTTGACATTCAGTTGCATTGGGGAGGGGGTTCTTGTACTTGTCGTCAACCATCAGCCGCTTCGCCAATACGACTCTATTGGAATATTGTGCTGAGTATCGGGAAGAATCAGCTAGTGATCAATGATGAATCAACAGAATAATCCTCATGTGACGACGATGATAAACCCCGACGGTACCGTGACGGTGAGACGGAAGATTTTGAACCCAGATGGGAGCTTCACGATACAGGAAGAAGAGCTTCCATCAGGGGATCAACAGGAGGAAGACGAATCGCCGGAGGTACACTTACACGATGCATCTGACAGCGTTTCGTCCATTACGGATATGAAAACAACGATATCTGCCTCATCCTCCAAAGACGATGTCTTTGCAGGGATCGAAGACTCGCCATTGCGTCCTAAAAGACAGAATGAACCTTCCCCTGAAAAGGCATCCAAACTGAGAACGAGTACACCACCACATAACTCAGACGGCAATATGCACCAATGGGCTCCAACTGCTTATCAAGGAGTAATGCCCCCTGCAGGCGAGTTCAACAACGAGACTTTCGTGGAGCAGCCAAGATTCCAGCCCAATGATGCTTCAAGACATATTGCCCCACCTTCACCCGTCTATGATGATGGTTTTCGACACCTGAGAGAGAGTGGTCCGCTTTTGGATACCCCTTCCGTTGCACAACTTGACGCTCCTGTAACCGTGACTGTTTTTAAGAAGAATATGGACGATAGAATAGGGATCAACGTTGGTTTGAGCCGAGTCGATCACAAGGATCGCCTAGTCGTCACGAAAATATCTCCTAATGGACTGCTTTCGGATAGTGCTATCGAAGAAGGCGATGTCATCATGTCAATAAATTCGCATAGCTTTCTCGACAACCCTCATACAGAAGATGCTCTGGGTAAGTTATCATTTCGGTGTTCAAATGTGTCACTTGATTGATCTTAATACTAATACTTTTTCTTTCTCACAGCAATCGTTACGCAATCGCTCGGTATAATAGCGTTTGAAGTGCTCAAACGGGGTAAAACGAATGGGGAGCGAGCTAGCAGTCCAGCACGGGTGCGGACCACAGAGAAAGCAATGAGAGGGGCGGGGAAGGTCGTAACATCAGAAGTTCTGAACGAGGATGGAAGTCTCACAATTATCGTGGACGAAATTGATGAAAATGGGGAAAGAATACACCGGGAAATAAGACGAGAGAGATATAATGCTGACAATGGCGAGGTGTTGCGACCGCAATTTGGTGCCGATCCATCTCTTCTTCCCGCAAAGATGCAACTCACAGAAGAAGACAGGTATCATTTTGATGACCATCGGTATATGTATCAGTCCACTCCAGTTCCAGAACATTCAATGCAACATTCACGGCGAAGGAAACCACCCAAGCAGAAGAAAATTGTGGTAAATAAAACAGATAAGTTTCAGAAACTTGGTATCAAGCTGGAGCTGCATGAAGGTGACACAAATATTCTGCTTGTAACGGGCATTCACCCGTCAGGGCTCATCGCAGCTGCACAGTCCTCTCTCGTTGTTGGCGATATGATTGTGAGTATCAATGGCTTTGACTTTATGGACAATGCAAGTTTGGAAATTGCAAATACCATTATTCGAAATTCAACTGGCGAGATCACATTGTATGCGATCGATGGAGAAGATGACCTCGATGGGTTTTCAAAGGAAACGTCTGTCACAGAACCTGAAACTCCCTTCAGCAGCAGTGCGGATTTTCGAAATGAAATGACCTTTGATGAGGGCTCATATGGAGGCTCAATTGGAAATTACATGGCGTCAAAGGTGGTAAGGATCACCAAGTCTGATCCCAGTGAAAGTATAGGTCTCAAATTGGTTCAGCAGAGATCTCATTGGGGTCGAATGCTGGTTGTTTTGGAAGTTTTTGGGAAAGCCGTTCAAAGTGGAATCGAGGTTGGTGATGCGATCCTAGCAATCAATGGAGTTAACTTCCGTGGCAAGCCAGATCCTCTCCGAGCTGAATTAGTATTGCGAAAAGCAACGAATGTTGTTGTTATTGAGATTCAGAGACTATCAGGAATGAACGTTGCGCTACCGGCACCTCGAAACAAGAAGGCAGAAAGGCCAGACAAAAGAGCACCAGAGCCCAAGAATTCAATGGATAGTCGAATATCCAAAAGCATTGATCAATTTGATGCAACATTTCAGACTCACATGTCCTTGAAATCTAATGAGGCAGTCAGATCGAAACGAACGGTAGGTCCAGGACAGTCCAACGAGAGGACGCTGCCGAAGACCACACCAAATAATGTGGACGTTCTCAGACCACAATTCATCCCCCCGAAATCAAAAACTATAATTGTCCGAGTGAAGAAGGAGTCCCCGCAGCAGGATGTTGGTTTGAAAGTTGAAGCCATAAATGGCGTTCTTTACGTTTCAAAAATATCACTGCAGGGACTTCTTGTGGGCAAGAGTATCGTGCCCGGTGATATTATCCTTTCCATTAACAACAAATGGTTCCTGGAATATCCAAGCGTTGCCGATGCCGAAGCCCAATTGCGGAAACCTACCAAGCTCTTCGTAATCGAAGTGAAAAAGTCCCCAGCATCACCTACTGGCTCAGACGACAAGAAGCTGAAGTGGCACGAGAGGATCCAATGCAACAAACGATCGGGCGAGGATGTATAGCAAGACAAATGATCGAAGCCAGAAAACAAAGCAGATGTCTATGATATATTAAGCATTCAAAGCTTACAAAACACCAATTTGGTTTTGGCAATCTTTACAAGAGCAAATCTTGGTGCATTTTCGCTCTGTGCGAAAGCACTCGCAGTACTTGCGGATGCATCTATTATTTTTGCATGCGCATCCTGCTCCGACCTCTTTTGTCTTCTTCTTTTGACGAAATGCATCGGGTCTCTTCTCGAGTGTCATTTGAATGGCATATTTGCGTGCCCCAGTTGGGTCTTTTCCAATGTTCAGGCATCCAACGCATGTGCAAAGTGAAGGATCGCATGTCTTACCGCTCTGAAAGCAAGTACAGTAGAGCTTCAAGCAACGTGATCGAACACAGTTGCACCAACCTTGGTCGCCCGGATTCAGCTTCTGGGGATTGCTTTTTCCGGCGTTGGTAAATGCTCGTGGATTTCTCGCAAGGATTGACTGTATTGCCTGGAGGGAATAAGCTAGGTTTTAGAAATCTCTAGGGAAATGATCGATTGAATTTGGGTTTACGATTCATTCTGATTGACGTACCTTCGAACGGGCACCATTTGGTCCGCTTTGTTCCACCGTATTCTTGCAGTCAAGGCAAGTGCAGCTTTGGCTGCATCGTCTACCAGCTTTAAAGCAATCGCAGTAAAGAGCAATGCACTTGCTCTTTGGGCAAGAACATCCGGTGGGATTCTCTTGAAGTGGACCAAGGTCCAATGTTGCTGCGCATAGGAGATCAAGCTTATCAAATTTGCCTATTAAAGGTTCCGATGGCTTCGCCTTTTTTGCTGGTGTATCAAGCTGATTGATTCCAGTCGCTCGCTTCCGAACTGTGCTACCTACCCGTATTTGTTCTCTAGCTGGAGGTTGCGAAACTAGACCACGTGGCAATACAAGGCCTGTCGAAATGATAGCTTTCCGGGGACCTGGGATTGCTTTTGTCATTGCGACATGGGTATGGTTTCTTGGAGCTTCAGCCGTTGGCAAGATCATTCCTGTTTCAGCACTGCGGTACGAAGGGCGATACCGCTCTGATTCGGAACTGGGAAAAGCAGGCCGTTGTCGTTCTGGTATCATTGAACCGCTTTGTCTGTTATGAGACATTGAGACCATCCCAATTGGCCGTTGCTGTTGTCGATCTTGATACCGATATATGTCGATATTCCCTCGTGAATGCCATCGAGAAGACTGCCATGATGGATACATTGGCGGGACTGATGCGTATCTATGTCTAAACTCTAGGGAACGATCCATTGCCGGGTCCATCACTGAGACATTTGGATGAAGAAATGCCTTGTCTGGTTGGTGGGTTTCCCATCTGGACCGAATCCTCGGGTTTGCCGTCGAACCTGCATCATCTCTTTCGTCATCTCTTATAGAACTGAAATTACGATTTCTTGGAATAGGCAGCATCTTTGATGGTTCAGCTAATCTAGCCTCCTCTGCTCTTAGATTGAAATTCAATTGTCGTACAGCACTTGTGAATGGAGGAGCCAAAAAGTGACGCTGTTCTTGCTTGCTCATTTTATATTATGCTTCGAAACTTCACTTCCAAATTTCATCGATTCCGAATATTTGAAACGAGAGACGCCGACTCAAGTTTTGCGACGGACCCATCATTTGGAGTGGAAGCCTACTGTCAACAAAGAAAGTTCTTAGGTACCTCGGTTGTGAAACAAATTACGAGGACTTGCGTACCTCAACTACTGGTCTCACCAACGATCTTCACAAATGGAAGAATATTCTTCAGATGGGGAAAAAATTCATCGTCACTTCAAAACTCCAAATGGGCAATCAGGAACGAGTGAGTCCGCTTTGAATGCACGGCTAGCGCACGTAAAAATACAACCATGTCTACTACTGTATATCAAATATTAGGAAAAGCGCAAGCGGTGCACTAAATATCTGTCGGAGCTTTCTTTCTGACATATTCGTCCCCATTTGAAAAATCTAATCGTCCCACTCGCCCTCGCCTACTTGAGGCTCGTCCCCTTCGTCGTCTGATTGATCGGAACCTTCGTCGCTAGCTGCTTTTGATTTCCCTTCGGCAGGATCGGTTTCGGAATCGTCCTTCATGTTTTCCTCGCCAACCTTATCGAGATTTTGACCCACTTCATCGAGTCCCTCGATCTTGGCAGTATCAGCCACTTCTTCCTTTTCCTTCAATTCGGGTGGTGCCACAAAGTGCGGAAGTCGGCCGCGTTGAAAGTCGTTGATGATCATGATTGCAGCACTTCTTATGTCAGGTTCTCCACCCTTTCTTAGACGACCTGTTCTAGTTGCAACGGCATCCATGAGCTCCAGATGGGTTTCCCACTTCTGGTCCTTTTTGTCCAGCTTGTACTGGGCGGCGATATGCTCACGCTTCACCTTTTCGCAAATCGTGATAACGAAATCCTCAGGATTCTCTAATCGTTCTGCACGGACAACTCCCTTCAGAACAGAGTCTGTTTCGCTGTCTCCAGCAGTATCGACAACAACTCCTGGACAATCGATCAGAGAGATTCTCTTGAACAACGTGATGTATTGCCAAATCTTGGTTTCACCAGGTACTGGCGCAACATTACAAGACTTCTTCGAGATGAGTGTATTAATGACACTACTCTTTCCGACATTTGGGTATCCAATCACACCCACACTGATTTGTTTCTTGTCGCTGTGAAGTTTGCCGAATTGACGCAGCAAACTAATCAATGCTCCCTTTCCGAAAGCATGAGTCATGGAAGCGTGGAAGGCAATGGTTGGGCGTTCTTTAGCCAATTCTCCCATCCATCGCTTTGCCACCCAGTTTGGAACCAAATCAACCTTATTCAAGATGTAGACCAAGTGCTTGTGCGAGGCATTGTCGCGAATGTGCTTCTCGATCATTGTGCATCTGGTTCCTGGAACATTCCGAGCATCGATCACGTGAAGGACAACATCAGAACAGTCTACCACCTTGAAGAATTCTGCCCAAATACGTTTGGATTGACCCTTGAGGAACAAATCGTCCTTCTTTTCGTGACGCCAGTCAATGTTTTCTCCAGATGTTCGGACCAAGTTGGCATCTCGACCCCATGGAACAATACCTTCACGATTGTTTCGAGATTCGTAAGTGTCATGACTTGTCTTGGCAACTGATAGAAGCTTGCCGTAGGCATTGATTTCATCTTCCTCCACGATATTTTCCACGACCTCTGCTCTACCTCCTTTGGCACGTTCTTCCTTTTCGCCAGTCTCATCTTTTCGGGCCAACATCAGTTGGTCCAATTTGACACGCTTCCGCCGGTTCTTGGACCCAAATGCATGCTCAAATGGCTCTTGCTGCAAGAAGGCTTGACTCGGAGGAGCTTCCCGATCCGCGGCCTCGCGCAAGAGACCCATGGGAAGCTTCTTTCGCTTCAAGACGACAGAATAAGGGTCGGCCACCTTTTCTGTCATTTCTTGTCGAAAGGTATCAAGCTGCTTCGGATCGACGACACGGGTATTACCGAACCAGCGACGATCGGGTGCGATTCGACCAGTCTCCCCTGTGATTTCTCTATCTCCAGCACGGTCTCCCATCATGAAGTTGCCACCAATAATGCGTCCTTTCTTGTTGCGAATAGTTCTGCTGTTGTAGAGTTTGAGACGATTGATCGTCTCGGCGGAACGCATGTGGGCCTTGGCCTTGTCACGGCCCTTTCCCACCTTGGAGGATGCTCCAGTTCGTGGGAGGGCATTGGTTCTTTTGTTTGGAGGCATCGTATTCCTTCTTTCGGTTCGAGGAAAACGTTTTGTGAGAAAAAAGCTGGAAAACAAAGTTAGTGGTGTCCGAAGGACACCGACATACAGACAGGCTTAAAAGCAGAATCGAGTCGAACAAAAGAACATAAATAGCTCTAACATTTTCCGCGCCTGTCTTCGTACAATGCATTGTCAACCTTTATAAAAGGTTAACACATCTCACCTTTAACAGAGACAACGTCACACCTTGCCGTCAAATATTACAATATCATCAAGCAATCTAATAGACGAAATTTGGATTGACCCCGGAATAGGCGACTGCAAGGACTACTGTACACGTGTACTACCGGTTGAGCTTGAAACTATGGATTATTCAAGAGAAAGTACTCGACACTTCAGAAAGTTGAAATATGTAGGTAATTCATCCTCGGGTTCTGATAACGAGTCAGATAATGATAGTAATGGTAATAACGAAGTCCAAATGGTATCCGGGCTATCTGCTCGTCGATCGAATATTGCTGGACCAAAAATAGGTGACAGAAGAACTCAGGAACCACAAGTTCCGCGCCACATCACCGCGGTGTGCACCCCATTCACGGGTTCTTATGAATCAGATAGTGATATCGAAGTTCTTGACTCGCCACCAGCTGCTCGTCATCAAGCCAAGCCTGCAGCCAAGAAATGTTGGAGTAATCAACCTTCTCCATTAACGAGTTCGAATGAATCAGATTCAGATAGTTCAATTGAAATTCTTGAATCACCACCAGCTCCCCGTCATGCAGCTAAGCCTGCAGCCAAGAAGCAATGGATTCTTCGAGATTCTCCATGCATGAGTTTAAGTGAGTCATCATCAAGCAGCGAGAGTGAATGGGAAGAGTCACCAGCTGCCAGTCGCTCATCAGAGTCTGCGACGAAGAAACCCTGTGGTCGGGCATCTCCGTCCACGAAATCCACTGAATCCAATACTGACAGCGATGACCAAGAATCATCAACTACACGCTATACCGACAGGCCTGTCGTCAGTAACCTCATTCGAAAATCTGCGGCGAGTAGCCGGACCCCGAACTTTTCAAATACTAATGAATCAGATACTGAGGGAGAGGAGCAAGAACCAGCAGCACGCAAAAAATCTACTGGATCAAATGAAGACGAGGAAGAGGAGCAAGACTCGTTAAGTAGCGAGGGCCATTGGGAAAAATCACCAGCTGCAAGTCGCTCGCCAAAACCTGCGGCGAAGAAACGCTGTGGTCGGGCCTCTGCATGCACAAGATCTACAGAATCCAACACTGACAGCGATGACCAAGAATCATTAGCTGCACGCCATTCCGTCAGGCCTGCAGCCAGTAAACCCATTCGAAAACCTGCGGCGAGTAGCCGGACCCCAAACTTTTCAAATGCTTCTGAATCAGATAGTGGGGGAGAGGAGCAAGAACCAGCAGCACGCAAAAAACCTACTGGATCAAATGAGGACAAGGAAAGGGAGCAAGACTCATCAAGTAGCGAGGGCTATTGGGAAAAACCAAGTCGCTCATCAAAGCCTGCGGCGAAGAAACGCCGTGGTCGGGCCTCTCCGTCCACAAGATCTACTGAATCCAATACTAACATCGACGACCAAGAATCATCAGCTGCAAGCCATTCCATCAGGCCTGCAGGCAGCAACCCCATTCGAAAACCTGCGGCTGATAGCCCGACCCCTAACGTTTCAAATGCTTCTGAATCAGATAGTGATAGAGAAGAGCACGAACAAGCCACACGCGAGAGCCCCACTGGGTCAAGTGAGAACAACGAAGAGGAGCAAGACCCTTCAGCTGTACGTCGATCTGCTCGAGACCGAAAGCTAACCGATCTAGCAGCAAAGAATCTTCATCATAATTACACCGAATCGCCGAAGAAGAGGAAGAAGAAATTTGTCGAAGAATCCAACGAGGAAAGTAAAGCGCGAACAACTAAGCGCCCAAGGACTAAGCGCAAGCGAAAGCAAGCTGAGCAAGAATTTGTTGTGGACAAAGTCTTGAATCAGAACATTGTACTAAACGGCCGTGGTAATTATGTCATCGAATATGAATTGAGCTGGGTTGGATACTCACAAAACGAAAACTGTTGGGAAAGTCCAGAAAGCATGAACGGAGAGGATATCCTTCTCGAGGCTTTTTCAAAGTTTCCAACCTCTGCCGAAGCATGTGTAGATGAGGGCACATACCACGTAGAAGGCCTGGGACGACCTATTCAAGCTGTCGAGGATGAGTATGTGTACTCAGAAAAGGACCTGGAACGATGTACGGCATACTACGACCAATGGGTAAAGCAGAATCCCAAGGAGGCAAGGGATACGTTTGTTGAAATCAAGACCGACAGGGTTCACCTTCGAATTGGAATGTGGTACAAGTCGCGTGAGAATGATGAGCAAAGGCTCCTTATTGCACGTTTGGACAAGAGAAACAAGGTTGCAAAATGCCTTCTCTTCATTCCGAGCACCAACACCATCTTAAAGGATACGCATGCAGCAGAGGATGGCAAAGTGAAATACCTTTATTACAAAGATTCTTCAGTGCCATTCGACGACCTCTGCGAACGGCACATACGATGCAAAGGGTCGATTCCCACCTGCAAATGGTGCTACAGTGAAACTTCTGAGCACGAATTTACCATTGCCATTGAATCGAAAACCAATCAAAGCCTCCCAACACAAATCAACTATGGCATAAAGAAACCCAAGGTTCTTGTCCTATGCGCAGGGTCTAGCTTTGGGATGTCTTGTGGATACGGAGAGGGAGGATTGGAAGTTGCGTGGATGGTTGAGAAGGATGAACAGAAAGCGAAATGGTTGCGACGACAGTACTCGGATCAGGCTAAATCAGAAGGCCGCAAGCCACCTGTATATCAAGAAAGTGTCCACCGCTTCGTGAACAAGCTTCAAAATGATCGGTACGAGTCCATTAAGAAAGATGTAGATCATATCCATCTATCTGCTCCATTGCGAGGAAGGGACTATGAGGACAACGAAATTGCAGAAGCATTTGTGGCCTGTGTCAAAAATTTGAAACCTAAGACGGGCATATATGACAGCTCATTAGACTTGTTACTAGAAGAGAATATCGAGATTTTGGAGACCATGATTGGTTGTCTTCATCGCCTGGACTATCAGATCCGACTTATGATCCTCGATGCAAGTGAGTATGGAGATCCAATCGAGACGAAACGAGTGGTACTTTGTATCGCAAAAGAAACGGCATACTTGCCGAATAGACCGATAGCAACACATGGTGGAGGACGATTTAACGATTTTTTGACAGTCGAAGATGAATTGTGTTTCCTCGAAGATACGCCACCGCGCAGCGTAGTTGAGATATGCGGACAGCAGATTTACCACCACACCTCACCAAGCCATACACCGACGGCCGAAGAATGCGAAATGTTTGGGCTTCGCCAGGAAGTCCAAAGTTATGTACCTACGGACGAGGAGTGTGAAGAGTTTGCACTTGATCCTAGCAAGGTGGCCCCAGACATGACAGGCACAAATCGATTCATTCACTATAATAAGGAACGCTTCCTTACTATCCGTGAACTTTTGTGCTTGAAGTCGTTCGATAAGTTCAAGAAATATGAGCTTTTTGATTCGGAACAAGAAATGTTGCAACAAATTGCGGATGCAATGCCGTTCAAAATTGCAAGAGCAATTGCCCGTTCCATCGCACCTTCTTATTGCACTACTTATTTTAATTGATAGACTAAGCTAATTGTGTATCCTGTCAACATTTAACCACGCACTCCTCCTTTCTTGGTCTTCTCACCAGCCAAACGTAGCTTCAAGGAATCCAAATCCTTCGATGGGTCCTTGTAGTACGCTGTCTTGACGCAGTTTTCTCCATTCTCGAAGCAAGGATAGTTGTTGACAGTGAAGGAGCCAGGATTTGCCTTCAAGATATCCAAGGGTTAGCAAAATCTACCAACAGAAAATATTCTCAAAGCACTGATAATTCTTACCCATGCCACCTCCATTTCAATACCAAGTGAGTTCTTTCCTGCAAGAATACGGAAGTATCCCATTTCACCCCAGTACTGACCCCTAAAATTTCGAATCAATCAATCGGTCGGTTAGTCAGTGAAAATGGACAGAAAACCTGCATACTCACCCACATATTCAACTACAGTACTTACCAAGAGTTGCGAACAATCCAATAGTCGTTACCAGTTTCCTCATCCAAGCCCCATCCAACGATAGAGACAATGTGGTTGACCATCATATGCCAAAGCTTTGTATCGGTGACAATGCCACCTTCGTACTTGACCAGCGGTTCGGCATTGACACCAGTCGCAACAGGTCCTCTAGCATAGATTTCCGATTTCAACTTGTGGACAATGTCCTTTGGTGAAGTCATAAAGCTATATGTTCCGTATTCCGAAATAGTACTATTTGGATAGTAATCAATCTCAGTACAGGCACCTCCCATTCCAGCAAAGGTGTCACAGGTCTTGCAAGTATTAGCTGCGGAACAAGTCGTGTCGACGTACTGGCAAAATCCCTCCTTGGATTCTTGGCTACAAGCCATGTATGGCATACAAGAATCATATGGAACATGCCCCTTGCTCTTGATAAACTGGTACGTGCCCGTATGGGAACCTCCATGGCACGATCCCGCCATGTGCGTACCACAATTCAAGACATACTGAATGGAAAGATCGATTTCATCTTTACTGGAATTGGTGATCTTGATACGGTCACCAAGTGCCGAAAGGGCTCCATGGGCCCAACAACTTCCGCAATCTATCATTAAAAGAACGAAAAAAGATATTGAGCGGTGCGGAAACATCAAAGGAGCAAACGGATCGATCAAGAGCACTCATCAAGCGGTGCGGTAACATCACGGGAAGACGCCAGTAGCACAAATCCACAGCAAGCAAGCATACCGGTCAGTATCACTCCTCCATTACTTACATTGCGGAATGTGTTGGTTCAGCGAGTGGGTCAAGTAGGACTTTCCATTGACGTTTCCCCAATTAAAGTTGTCAGGAAGCTCATCTTCTGAAATGTAGGTATGTGGAAGCGGAGAATGATAGTCCTCACGGACGTCATGTCCTTCGAGGACCATGTACTCATCGTGGCGGCCAAGAGCGACCGGGACTGCCGCGAGCAATAGGGTAATGGAAAACAACATGCTATTAGGTTGGTGAAACACAACAAGTTGCAATCAAAGAATACTGTGTGTCATCAACGGTCGGATTTCGGAAGCAAAATTCCTAAGCTCCGGGTTCTTTTGATTATCTGAGAACTAAGTCAGTACTTTCACTCGTGACATAAATTCTGTTGGATCTTTTGATGTCAAATGCAAAACACAAGATGACCATCGCACAACATAAAACTTCAATACCATGACTGTGCCAACAGAAGATCCAGTCTGCCAGGAAAATTTCAAGCTTGGCCTGACCAAAGTACCCGAAACCATGCTGTGGACTCTCCACAATCGCTGCAGCGTGGCGCGGAAACAAGACGGTTGGTTCCAAGATCCCAAGGCGGTTGAAATCTACAATGCCATTGATTACGATTATGAAAAGTCGTTTGGTAAAGGAGAAAGTTCGCATGCAATTTGAGCCATGGTATTTGACGAGGCGATAAAGAAATTCTGGAAGGAATCGCCGAATGGAACAGTGGTGAACTTTGCAGAAGGCTTGGAAACCCAACGTTTCCGCCTGCAAAAAGACATGGCGGAAGATGCACTTTGGATTTCCATAGATCTCCCAGAAGCCATGGCAGCACGCGAAAAGTTTATTGAGCCTGATGACAAACACCTACATTTGGATGTCTCCGTTTTGAACGCCGGTGCTTGGATGCCATTGGTGCCCAAAGACAAGCCAGTCTTCTTTACAGCCCAAGGTCTGTTCATGTATCTAGAAGAAGAAGAAAACAAGTACCTCTTTCAACAATTAGCAGATCACTTTCCTGGAGCAACCTTGCAGTTTGATTGCATCAGCAAGTGGTTTTCCGACAAGGCTACCAAGGGCGACTGGAAACTGACACGTCACTACACTACTCCCAAGATGCCCTTTGGTGTGAACAAACCCAATGTACAACTTCTTTTTGACAGTTGGGTACCAGGAATCCAAATCAAACAAGTCGAGATGCCGACGGACAAGCTGGATGGAATGCTACGTTGGATTGTACCGCTTTTCTTGTCCATTCCGTATCTCAAACGAATGCAACCAGGTTTTTTCTTGCGCGTCAAGTTTCCATCAAAGTAGTGTAGTCAGTATGAAGCAAAACGTAAATTGAGTAATGCTAACTCTAGCTCTACTTCAAACACGGTCGTTGAGGTTTGAGACAACAAGATGCCAATCCAAAGTTTACTGTACTATGTATACGATATTCAATGCTACCGGGGGATTATAGAGATACCAAGTATCCCCCGAAATATGGAACGTCCCCCAATGAGAACAGACGCAGCTGTGCTATAGTTGTCACAAGTCACAAGAATAAATAAATAAAAAAGGAAACTAGACTGATGGATTTCGAAATAGAAGAACTCATAACAGATTACCTTGAATGGCAAGTGGCGAATCACGGCAAGGGAGAAAGCGTACTGGCTGCCTGGAAGAAGACTTTCGCTCCAAAGGTTCATACAACAACCAAGAAGTATGTGGCAATCCGAAAGAGTGAACAAATGAAGTCTCTCGCACTGTTTTTAGACAGAGGAGATGCTTTAGCCTGTGTGCCAACCATCGGTGATTCTGAAAAGGATGACATTTGTGTCAACAAGGAGTTCTCTTCATTCTGTGAAGCTCTGATGTACATGGCGGGGAACTCCAGCAAGTCAAATTCGAATTCGAATGGAGCAATACAAGAAGAACTCAAGGAAGACAACAACCCCGTGAAAACTGACGCTCCGCATGAAAATTCCAACGAGACTACTACGACAACTCCAGTAGCTCAAATCGATACCGATAATGAAAATGGCCCAGACGACGACAAGAAACGCGATCGACCGCCTGAGCCTGATGGAGATGCCTCGGAACCAAGTGCAAAGAAGATAAAGTCCGAGGATATTGTCAAAGAGAGTGCAAGTCCGGAGACTCCCCAGAGCTCGGTAGAACCCAATCCCAATGCTCGACAGAAAGTCAGGTTATGGAGGCAACGCTTTTCAGAACTAGCAGCCTTGTGGGACGGGGAAACAGTTGTGTATCAATCAGACATCGGAAACAACAAATCACTCGCGAATTGGGTAAAGCACCAAAGAAAACTCTTCAAGAAGGGTGACATATCAGCAGAAAGGATGAGCAGACTAGAATCGATTGGTTTTAAGTGGATCGGGAAGAATTCCGTTGTTTTGTCAAACCAACCACAAAGCGAAGGGGGGTTTGGAGTTGGAAAAGTTGCTTCAATCAATTTAGCCAAGAAAAGACAGCAATGGAACGACCCAAATGACGCGTGGGCGGTCCTTTGGGAAAAGCGGTACCAGGAGCTCGTTGAATACAAGAAGCGTTTCGGCGATACCAAAGTTCCCAAAGAATGGGCAGAAAACAAACAATTGGCTGGCTGGGTTCGGAAACAGAGAGAGCAGGTAAGTTGACTGACTCACTCCAGCAGATCTGTTTGGGTTATCGACGTCTTGGATCTAACGATTATGACCCGGTGTTTTTCCACAACATTCTTAGTATCGCAGGGAAGCAGCAGGGGAGCAGACAGCACTCACAGACGAGCGGAAAGAGAAACTGTTTGAGATTGGGTTCGTTTGGAGCCTAAGGCCTGGTCGACTGAAGAATCCACTACCGCCACCGCCAGAGCCATCTGGCGGCCAAAATTGTATAATGGGAAAGGAAGACGAAAGCCGTGATGTCGAGCCTTATTCCGTTGACAAGAATGGGTATCTAATAATCTAACATTGGATTTGACTTTTCGTATCGTAATCGTATGGTAGGTAGGTAGGTCCTCTCTTAAAGTATTTGATTACTCCGACTAAACAATGCCTCAACTTAAAACTGAAACTCAACATGCTGTTCAAATGTCAACGAAGATGTCATTGAAGACAGTACTACTTGCTGGCTTCGCCCTTGTCTCCGCCACCATCGGGGAAAACACATTCGAGAGTGAACTTTGGGACGATTCGGATGTTGCGGAGCAAACTGACCATCACAGTCCTTTGCCAACATCCTACCTTTCTTCAGAGGATATTCCGGAGCACTTTTCATGGGGCGATGTTCATGGTCGATCATATCTTACTCATTCGTTGAATCAACACGTTCCACACTATTGTGGTTCGTGTTGGGCACATGCCGCCTTGAGCTCATTGGCTGATCGGATCAAAATTGATCGAAATGGGGCGGGACCGGATATTAATCTTTCCATTCAGTACATTTTAAATTGTGGATCAGAAGCTGGATCGTGCCATGGTGGTTCCATGTTAACGACTTACAAATTCATCAAGAAGAATGGATTTATACCGTATCAGACTTGCATGCCATACCTAGCGTGCAGCAGCGAGTCTACCTATGGCTTTTGCCCCTATGTGGATACTACGTGCAGTCCGATCAATACTTGTCGAACATGCATGCATGGGACGGACGAATGCGTGGCTCTTGATGCTTTTCCAAATGCCACAGTGGCAGAATACGGAGTGATTGAAAATGATGTGGAGGCCGTGAAAGCTGAGATATTCGCCAGAGGACCAGTCACGGCAGGCTTGTGGGGAAAGTCATTGTCCAACTTTCAGGGTGGGAGTATATTTGACAATGTCGATGCTCCTCGGAACTCTACCCATGCGGTCAGCATTGTTGGTTGGGGACTAGACGAAAATACCAATCAGCGGTATTGGATCGTTCGAAATTCTTGGGGTACGTTACCTTTTTTGCTGCTGAACATAGTTTGATTTGCTTCTTTCTCTCACCACTACGAACCCTTTTGTTTGCAGGTGAATACTGGTCGGAACTTGGTTTCTTCAAAATTCTAATGGGGATGAATGTTCTGGGCATTGAATCTCGAATCACATGGGCAGTGCCTGGTGAGTATACAGTTGTTAATCCACATCCTTGCTTTGAAGGTGGAGAAAACTGCAAACCAATCAATCAAAGGTACCAAGATCCATCTGTCAAGGTAGCATCAATTCTATCACAACGAAGATGATTGTGGTTGTAACAGTTTTTATCTCTATTCAATATCATCCTCAGTTTTTCTAGATTTCCACCAAGGAGTGGAAAATGTACACTATTCGTCAGGCTTATTTCGTTGCTGCTCCTTCTTTCTCCGTCCCCATCAGGTGCTGCAACAACATTGTCCGTTGCGAAATGGGGAGTTGATTCCTGACGGCCATTCGTCTTACAAAGGCGCATGACCGATGCAAGCCACATCCAAATTCAATCATAGTGTGCGCCAGCGTCCCTAATTGGGCAAAGACAATTGCGTGTACTTGCGAGGCCGCATCATAGCGATCCGAATCTCGCAAATCGTGCCATTTCAGCTTAGTATTTTCAGTCCATTCGCCCTTCTTCTTGTATGTCCTGACTTTGGTTCGCTCCGAGTGATGGTCAAAGTTTTCCATCAATCCACTGTTTGACAAATTTTCAGTCACGTCTTGATACAAGACATTGTCCCTGTGCATCATCGAAGCGAGCAAATACGGTGAGACCATTGCAAAATACCGTGGCAACAACCTGCCTCTTATCGTGATGATACTTACCACAGTTCATCATCCGACCACAAAGGATGATTGATTAGTTTTGACTTCACCAGTACTTCCTTTCCATCAGCATCCTTGATAAAGAATATTTGTGACAGAGTCATTAGAATCTTGACCGAGGAAGCAGTTTTGGCATTGCACCCCGACAGAACGGCCGAGAATAATCGACACAAGCCTTCAAATTGAACCATAGTCGGAACTTCATCTTCGTTGTTTCGTTTTGCATTGAGAGCATAGCATATTGTTGATCGGTGCACCCTACCAGCAGAGGTCTTGTCTTGACCCAGTTTACATAGCAGTGCAACCGATTTCTCAAATTCATCCATTGCTTCGCTTTCTTCCGACGGATCAGATCCCATTCCCGAATCATTCTTGAAAAAGATGTCCATCATTTCTTCCATATTGTCTGGTGCACTCAACATATTCTCCATATCTTCCGCCGTCATACTGTCATGATAAGCATCTGCCCCAAAATCCATTCCCAAGTTTCCATTCACATGATCGTCCAAGACGGTAAAAGCTGCTGCCACACCCCCATCATCCTCATCTCCCAGTACACTGTAACCACCACTTTCCGTCTTATCCAGTTTGATATAATTGTCCAAATCCGCCCGAACATCCATGTAAAAGGCTACCGCCTCCAAATGCTCCAACTGTTCCATTCGTTCCTCCATCGCCTTGCGTTCCATGTCAATAATGGTCCGCAAACACTTGGCTTGGGCATTGCAGGCTCCAATTAGACAGGTTTCCGCCGCCAATTTAGACGACCGAACGGTAACATCCCATTCCGATAAAAAGGTCAACAAGGCATGAGCAGCATCTTCCACCGCTTCATCCGCCGTCAGAGCCGCTACTCGTAGCTCGGGAAGTGCCTGTTCTTGTTCCAAATCGTGTCGGTCGACTATTGGTAGACTGCTCGCCACCGTATCATCTTCAGACACAATACTTTCCGACATGGTCCCATCGCCCGAGGCATGCGACTGGTCCGTTGGAGCAAAGTCCATGGGTTCAAAGCTTCCTTCTTCCATATTGGCAGTGACCGCCGAGACAATGTCCCAAATTTCCGATTGAGTGGTTCCCATGCTTCCATTGACTGCCGCATCTTGCCTTCGTTTCTTTTCATCTTCCTTGAGGCGTTCCATTCGTTTTTGTTCCTTTTGTCGATTCCGTTCCATAATCTTTTCTTCCAGCAAATGGGTGACCTTTTCTTCGGCATCGTGAACCTCATTCCATCGTTTAATAGAATCCTCCTTGCAGGCAGCCAAGTGTTCTTCCAGCGACTTCTTTTTCTGAATCATTTGTTTCAAGGCTATCCGGCGGTTCAATTCTCGTTGCACCGTTTGTTCCTTGGCCTTCGCAAACATGCCCAGCGCACCCGTGGCCTCAGCTGCGGCTTTCCATCGATTTGTTTCCGATTGGGCCACGTGCGAGTAATAGTTCGCCAAGGAATTCAGTGTCGTGTGAACACTTCCTTCTTGAAAGGCCAGTGGCCCCACTCGCTGGGGCAGGAGTTGTACTGTATGTTCTGGAAAGGCATCATCCAACATGGATTTGTATTCTTCCGAACGAGCTTTGTTGGATTCGGAAGTGATATCCGTCAATGCTTTTAGTCTCTTGGCTAGAAAACCCTCTTGTGCGGCCGATATTTTCTTGGCCTTGGTCAAATGCTGGGAAAACTCACAAAAGTCGTTCATGGAATCTGCCGATTGTTTGACTGCCAATGTCGTTGCTGGAACGGACCATCCCTTGGAAGTAAATCCATTGAGCTGTTTGTCACCATCTGCATTCAAATCGTTTCCCATGAAAATTGCCGACTGGTATTCTTCGCCAAAATCGGACGAGGTTTGATCCAAAAACGATTTGGTGCGTTCGTTTTTCATTGGTTTGTCCTTGGCCAATTCTCTCGGAATAATCAACAAGTCTCCATCGGCTGACACCAACACAGAGCAATCTGAAAGACCAGTCTTGGCTTCTACTCTTCCCGATGATGTCGAAGTGGAAGCTAGATTGTCACAGGCTTCAATGCCGGCCACAAAGCTGGACAACTCTTTGGCTTGGAAGCTTTTGTTTTGACTACTATTTTGATGAGTGAGAGATTCTCCGTCTCCATCAGAAGCCTGTCTATTTGTGGTGCGCTCAATGAATCGTCGAAACATTTTGATCCCCCACGCCATGCACTGTCTAACAAGAACAAGAAAAAGGAAGGAGGAGGGTACCTGGTAGCACTACTGTACTACTCGGAGAAGAGCAATGCAATGCCAGTGTGAATCTTGGCGTGCAAGGCAGTCGCTCTCGACCCCTCCGAGTGGTGGATCGGATAGTTGCGCGAGCATGGTTGGCTCCAAACGAACGGGCCGACGTGGAAATCGAGCCGTTGCGTATCGGGAAAGATCCCAAAGAACGAATCCCCCAAACTACTTGTGACGTTCGTCCCAGCGAAGGACGAACCATCCATTTCAAATTGATGCCAGACATCAAAACCCTTCTTCCATCCATCCATCCATTGTACATTCATCTTCTTCCCCCCAAGAAGACTACAGTACAGACATCTTTTCTTACGCACCATACTGTCAAATCGCTTGAAGAAGAAACAAACACTACAGTATGATATCCATTCACTCCATTTCATTATCCATATTCTTGCTAGCGGTGGTGTTTCAATCATCAAAATATGGTACAACAGTCGAAGCGTTTGCCGCCAAACAGGCTCGACCATCCGGTGGCGGTGGATTTGGAGCCGGTACAAAGAGCCCATTGACACACATTCCCGATACTTCCGACACTACCCAGGCATTGCTACAATTCCTAAAGGCCGAAAACGCCAAAGGCTTGGCCGATGTGGAAATTGGTACCGATGCCAATTCGGGTGTCAGAGGTTTGTTTGCCGCCAAGAATTTCAAAAAGGGAAAGTTGATGTGTCAGATTCCTTCCGGTTGTGCCTTGGCCTTGTCGGACCCCAGTAAAAATGGCGAGGATACTCCGACCTTGGCCCATGGAGGTGCCAATTTCTTGTCCATGTACTGGAAGGATCCCAAAGCCAAAGAAACGTGGGCACCCTATTTGAATACCCTGCCGCAACAAGGAACCTCCCAATTTGATCCAACCCCAGACTTTTTTCAAGATGACGAATTGGAATTGTTGGAATTTCCTAGGGCCATTCGATTGGCAAAAACTCGCAAGGAGGAGATTGCCAATTTGGGGGCCGAACAGGGTTTGGACATGGACGAATTGCAATTCGCTACCTGGTTGACAGCCTCTCGCGCCTTTACCATTTCCATCGCGACGGAATCGGAGGAAAAGGTTAAAACCATGCTAGAAGAGGATACTGAAGCCGAATCGTCATCGGAAGATGCTACTACTAGTGAAGGAGAAAAGCAAACCATTGTTACCAAGGCAAAAACCAAGTCGATTCGTGTCTTGGTCCCATTTATTGGTAAGAAAGAAAGAAGGAAAGAGTTGGAATCGCACACATGCAATTGTAGTGGATTTGCTATTATTGTGCATGATGGACTACATGACTGACCCTGTCTCTCATTTTCTTTCCCTCTCCCCTCTCCCTCTTGTTCATCGCCTTCAAATTCTATTTACTAGACATGGCCAATCATAATTCAGACCAACCCAATGCCAAACTCACCTTGGTGGACCCCGAAAAGGACGATGCCTGGTTTGCTTTGGAGGCAACTCGACCCATCAAGGCTGGTAAAGAAATTGTCATTGCCTATGGAAGTGGAGTGGAATCATCCGTCGAACTCTTTTTGAATTATGGATTCATCCCCAAGACCAATACCATTGATGCATTAATGTTGCAAAAGGGAGGAGACGATGCCATTACAAGCTTGGATGGATGGACCACTAGTCTGGAAGAGGACCAAAGTATGCTAGAAATGGCCAAAGACGATCCAACTTTGCAAAAGATTCTCAATTTCCGAATACGGCTCAAGGAATCCTACAAATGAGTTCCTAACTATGCAGCATAGTAATACGTGCTCTTGCATATCTTGGACCAATCCCATCCTAGTTTGTATAAAAAAGTATCTATTTTCTCTACAAAATCACATGCAAATTTCCTATATCAATCCTTACTCATCCCCGATTGGCAATGGGGAGTGTCCCATGATTCATTCATTCATTCATTCGAGGTGAGGTTTCTATTGTGGATTGCCATCGTACGAAGCCGGTGGTGGTCGAGGTACCCATACTTGTGTCTGGGCTGTAGTATCGATAGGGTAGTATGCTGGAGCCGGTGGTTGGTGGACAACCGTATGGCAGGACGAAGAAGGGGATACCATTCTTCCGTAAGATGGTGGCTGAAAGACCACCAAGCTCCTGCTGCGCACCGGTGGCACGCTGGCTGACACAGTGGTAGCAGCACCAACAGGGTCAAAGGCAGAACCAGGTCCATCCGAGTCATCGCATTGGAATGATTCCAATCGTTGTCGAGAACGGGGTCGACCGGATTCGCCCTCCATTTCGATGCGGATCGGAGAATAAGGTTGGTTTCTCTTCTTGCAATTGTTGCAAGAGGATGAAATACCACAACGGTGAAAGCTCTCGATCATGGATTGATCGGGCATTTTGGCTCTCTGCGCAATAGGAGCCGTCAGTGTCGATGGAACCGCTTCGTTTTGCTCGTTTTGAACCATTCTGCTCTGACAGCGGATATTCTCGTCTCGGCCATTGTGGACAGTGACAGTGCCTGGACAAGGGAGGCTGGGAACTAATATTTGGAGTGGCTTGAAAAAGTCGAAAATGATAGAGTGATGAGCCAATGTTCCTGTCAAAAGGAACAGATTGTCCACATAGGATTGGATGTCCCGAAATGGCTGTTGCTGGTAAAGTCCGTGAAGGCAATGTTCGTCCAC